TCTCAGGGTTGTGGGTTTCTGCTCCTTGTTGGGCGGAAAGATTCCTGCATTGCAGAGGGTTGGACTTAGATGACCCTCATGGTCTCTTCCAACTCTACAATTCTCTTATTCCGTTCTATGAAGTAGCCATCAAAATCCAGTATCCCCAACCCTCATAATGTCCTCAACTGACAGCTGCTGTAAAATTGTCAACTCAGCAGCCATGTATGAACGAGAGAGGTGAAAAGGTGGGAACTGAGAAAATAAAGAAGGTGTTGGGAAAAGTTGCTGTAGCACTGCAGTAGCTGAAGCAAGGTCACCTAAATGGGGTTGGAGTGTTACTGTCTGAAGCGTTACTTTAAAAGTTCCCAAAAAAGTACATTGCTGCAAAGAGGGTGGCAAAAAAAACCCAACCCCAATAGGATTTGTTGGGACAGAGGGGGGGGGAGGAGGATCTTGATAATTAATTCACTGTATATTTCGGAAAGTTGTTTGTTTGATATGCATTTGTATGCCTCAATTTTGCATGATGGTTCCTGAGATCAAGGAACAGGTTTTCAACTATGTTTGGATACAGTGGGAGCCATTTTGAAACAAGTCTATGGCCCGAACCTTTCAAAACGGTACTGATTTTTTTCCCGTTTCTTAGAATTCTTGAGCAAAGCCAGGTATGAACCTGCTAGTAGTATAATATTTGTTTATCCTGGTTAGCTTTCCCAGTAAGTCCATACAAATGCTACCGCACATCATTGTTTGGCCCTGTATATATGAAGGAATGTCTCTACCCCCATCGTCCAGTTCTGAGGGCCTTCTGATAGTTCCTTCACTGTGAGAAGTGAATTTATAGGGAACCAGGCAGAGGGCCTTCTTGGTAGTGGCTCCCACTCTGGGGAACGCTCTCCTGTCAGATATCTCCTGTCAGATATATTAGTTTTCCTAAGAGATCTGAAAGCAGTCCTGTGTCGGGAACTTTTTAATGTTCAATTATGTTTTTAAATCTGTTGGAAGCCGCCCAGAGTAGCCGGGGCAACCCAGTCAGATGGGCGAGGTACAAATAGTAGTAGTAGTACAGTCACACCTCGGGTTACAGATGCTTCAGGTTGCGTTTTTTTGGGTTACAGACTGCCAGAACCCGGAAGTACTGGAACGGATTACTTCTGGGTTTTGGCAGTTGCGCATGCGCAGAAGCGCCGAATTGCAACCCGGACGTGTACAGATGCGTTGCTGCGGGTTGCGAACGCTGCGGGTTGCGAACATGCATGCCACACGGATCACATTCACAACCCGAGCGTCCACTGTACTAGTTAATAATAATTAGTCAACATTTAAATGCTTGTATTAGTTATTCATCACCTGAAAGAAGAAGAAAATCTTGTTATGTAGGACTTCCCTGATTTTGCCCAAAGGCAAGTCTGCTTAAAAGCCTGTTTCCATCTCTAGCCTGGAAAAATACATTTCTAACTGGTGTAAATATCTATTTTCTTACATCTCCCAAACAGACATTTATAAATGTCCTCTGTTGATGCTCATCCACTACCTTTTTCTTTCTAGCAGAAAACCATTGCTCCTGCAGATGCCCCTGCAACTAGAGAGAGTCAGCTGACAGAAAAACAAAATGACAGTCAAGGTCAGAATGGTTCTTGCTGTTTCCTGTTCCAAGGCTGCAATCTTAACCATGTCTACTCAGAAGTAAGTCCCGCTTAATTCAGTGGGGCTTGCTCCCAGATAAATGAGGTTAAGATTGCAGCCTGTGTATGATTACTTAACAAGAAGGTTATTATTTAAACCAGTAGGACTTTACTTCAGAAAGTAAATGAATTTAGGGTTGGGTTTCAGAGTTTATAAACTCTGCTGATTTAGTTTTCTCTCCCTTTTTCAACTGAAAGCTTCTGGTGATGTAGGTGCAGTTCCTGGAACAAATGCTTTGAAAACTCCTCCGCCATTGAACACAAGTGCATCGAAAGCCTCTCCGCTGAGTCGAAAGGATAGGGCTGTGTGAGTGCAGCCGTAGAGATCTCTATTAAAAGAACGTTTTATTGTGGGATGTTCAGTTGTCTGACAGTCCATTGGACTGCTTTGCAGCTTCATCAGTTTATACAGAAAGTGTCACGAGGGGTGGGGGGCAAATTTTTAGACCTGGGTTTGAACTTGTGCCTTGTACAGGAAAAATTACGAGGCATCTTAGCATGGTCACTCAGCTAACCTACTTCACGGGGATTGTAATAAAAAAGAATGTACGTTTGTGTGTTGCCCTATTTGGAAGTCAATAACATTGGACCTAAGTACCGTATTTTTTGCTCTATAAGACTCACTTTTTCCCTCCTAAAAAGTAAGGGGAAATGTGTGTGCATCTTATGGAGTGAATGCAGGCTGCACAGCTATCCCAGAAGCCAGAACAGCAAGAGGGATCGCTGCTTTCGCTGCGCAGCGATCCCTCTTGCTGTTCTGGCTTCTGGGATTCAGAATATTTCTTTTCTTGTTTTCCTTCTCCAAAAACTACCGGTAGGTCCGTCTTATGGTCTGGTGCATCTTATAGAGCGAAAAATACGGTATCTTTACTTCAGAGAAAAATCCCACTGAAACTGGCTAGACTTCCTTCCCAGCAAACTTATGTTAGGACTGACATTTAAGTGATCTTTCCACAGATGCTATTTGGTTCTGTTGGCCGTGGGATGACAGCTCTGGCATATAATTCTTGCCTGTCATTCTTTCTGCTGCTTTTAGTGAGCCAAGCATTGAAGGCGAATCCCTTCTGCAAGGTATACAAGCATTTCCCGTAGACGTGGATTTAACGCTGTCACCCGGTTGCAACAGTACGGATTTAGTGAAGGTAACTTGCATTTTAAAACTTGGTTTTCTTAGCAGGTTCCAAAGGTTTTAATTCTTTGCTTGTGTTCTGTTTCACTTGATTAGCTTATTGATTTTTTACTTATTTAAGGGACTTGCACCTCACCTTTTGACAGGTTTGCTGGGGGGGGGGGCTAGCACTGCCAGTCATACAGTAAACGTGCAGTGGGCTGGAATGGAAGAAATTGTATATAATTGATTTCTGACAGTTAAAACACTGTTATTCCCTTTGATAATTGGCCCTACTTTTGCTCGGTAGTATTCTTTTTTCTAAAAAGTAACTCAAGAGACTTACCTTTACCGGTGTGAGGTAATTGCTGTTGTTTCATTATACCCACTTTTAATTACCGGTAAAACAAAGCAGACTAGGTTCCCATTCTTGAATTTGTGATTATCTGACTCTCCATGTTTCCTTTCCAGGATGCTCTGCTGGAGAAGACAAATGCAGTCAGAAGTTCAGCCAGACAGATCACAGAGGCAAAGTAAGGAAGTTTTGTTTGGTATGTTTTAAACCAGGGGTTGACAGCCTAAGGCCCATGGACCACAAGCAGCCCATGGGGGTCATTTAATCAGCCCATGGACCCCTGCCACCCGGTCGGCTCCCATGCACTGTGCTAAACCAGCGCAGAGCAGAGCAGGGACCGCCTTCCACGATGCTGGCTGGCTTCCCATTGGCTGCAGGAAGCTCCTGCAGCCAATGGGAAGCTGCACACGCCGCCTCTGTGCCAGAAGGAGCGAGGGAAATAGCGTTTACGTGTGTGCGCGCACACAGTCCGGCCCACCGTGGCATCTGCGGGACCATGAACCGGCCCAAGCCACAAAAACTTTGCCGACCCCTGTTTTAAACAGTCGGGGTGAATATTTTAAGTTAACATCTTATCCATTGATTAAGGGCAAGTAATTCTGTTTCAAACATCCACAATACTCTGTTCATGGCAGAAGTATAATATTTTTAAAGTAGCTCCTAAGGATCAGAGGTTACCTTAACTTTTTAAATATGTTTCATGAGGTGATTTTTCATGTTCATTTTTCATGGTGACAAACTATCCATATTCGTTCTCTGTGAAGCGAAAAGAAGTATTTTGCACATCAGAGAAACCCACAGGAATCTGCCATGGCCTGGTATGAATGATACCAAGAAGCACTAAATTAGTATAAATCCCTATGTGACTGGGGTGGACTTTGGTAATCTTTGCCAATATGGTGCCCTAAGGAAGGCAAAAATCTGGCACAAACAAATGGATCTTCTCAGTTATGGGTTGTCTCAATGTTGTGCCCTCTCAGCTCGCTGTCCTATGTGGGCAGCCCACCCACACCACTCTAAATCTAGTGTTGACCATGTAAAAATGTAATACAAGAAATGTCAGTCCATAGAGAATCATAAGGGCAGGAAGTGGGAGAGCCCATGCCTTACAAGCAGACAATCCCAGGTTGAACCCTTGACACTTCCAGTTAAAACGAACTAGACAGCAGATGTTTTGGAAATCTTCCACTAGAAATCCTGCAGAACCGCTTCTGGTCAATCAAAGCAAGCCTGGACTAATAGTCCACCCAATATGCAGCTTCTTGTTGTCCTAAGAGGCCATCATGCTGGAGGTGGTGTAGGGGGTAGTTGAGTTCAGCCATTGATTTGGAAAGCTATGGCTGCAGCTCCGTTGAGCTGCCCATCTTTGAATTTTCATAGCGGCTTTGAAAATGCATCCTGCTTTTAGGTTATTTTCACAGGAGTAAAAAAAAAACACATTTCTTTATCTGGAAATGTTCACTTTGCAGGAAGGATGCGTACGAATTTGAGTACACGTCTGATCCTGCCACACATGAGATGGTGAGACACTTAAGTTGGAGAAATATTTTGAATAGAGTTTTTGGTGAACAAATTATATCGTCAATAGTTAATATAAATTGTGCCCTTCTCTTCCACCTTCCCCACACACCTAGTAGTTAGTGGTGTTTCACAGACATTCTGAATTTTGTTGTTGTTTTTTTAAAGAGAAAGATTTTGTGCCCTAGGTACACTTGCTGGCAGTAGTAAATTAGAAATGAATTCATAGCTGAGACTTCAAATGCAGCCTTGGAGGACATTTGGTGAGATCACTACAGGGCCTAGTAGAATTATTGTGCTGGGGTTGAGAGTGTTTTTCATTTTAAAAAAACCAAACCCCCAAAAACCTTGAATGTATTTTCAGTTCACTTTGTTTTCAGGTCTCTGAAATGAAGCAAAAAGTTTTTGTCCAGAAGGCTTCTTTACCCAGGTATAGTTGGAATCTTGCACTGAAATTCTCTTGGGGCTGTTGTACAGATTTAATTATGGAAGCATATCCAGATGAGATGCTGGAAATGAGAAGCAAAATCAGAGAGATGCTGTCTGAGAAATGGAACGAGTGGGGAATGAAAGACTTGAGAGTATTTTAGTTGTGATCCAGTTTGAGCAGTGTGGAATCTTCCAGTGAGAAGTAAGCCTTTGCTTACTTGAGGAGCTCTTGGTCATTGAAATTATGGGAAAGGGTTCTGGGGTGAGAGCCAACTCTGTGTTGTCATGACTGAATTAAATTTTGCTTGTGTTGTGACTTTATGGCCTGCTGGCCAAGAGTGTGGCTCCGCCCCTTACAACCCACTACTGCTGCCGCTTAATGAATTCTGCTTGTTTGGGTCAACCCTGGGAGGTAATAGTAACAACAACAACAACAACAACAACAACAACAACAACAACAATAACAACAACAACAACAACAACAACAACAACAACATATCCGATGAGAATAGGGGTGTCATATTACATTACATTACATTACATTACATTACATTACATTACATTACATTACATTACATTACATTATTTATACCCTGCCCATCTGGCTGGGTTTCCTCAGCCACTCTGGGTGGCTTCCAACTCATATAAAAACATAAGTTTATAAAAAGATTAGATTATGCAGAGCAACTGACTGGCCCAAGGTCTTCCAGTGATCTTCACGGCTAACCAAGGATGTGAATCTGGGAATCCCAGTCTGATGCTCTAACCTAGTGTTTCCCAAACTTGGGTCTCCAGCTGCTTTCAGACTACAGCCTCCATCATCCCTGGCCATTGGTCTTCTTAACTAGGGTTGATGGGAGTTGTAGTCCAAAACCAGCTGGAGACCCAAGTTTGGGAAGCACTGCTCTAACCCGAGGGCCACTTTTTCCCTTAGCCATCACTGGCAGCCCAAAGTGGGTGTTGCAACCTCACACATTCACATGCATACCCCCCTCATACATAAGGATCCTGCAGCTCACCTCTTCCACTTACCAGTGACTGATCAGCTGAGGTGGGGATGCTTGTTTTGATGATGGGAGAGGACAGACCTCTCCACCCACTCAGCACTGGACTGCCTTCTTGGTTTTCTCTTTATTTTTGCTTGGCACTGCCACAGTCAAAGGTGTCTTGTAGGCATACAGGGGGCAGGAAAAAATTGCTTGGAAGCACAGGATCAGATCTAAGGCTGTGGCGTTGGCCACCCCTTCCCCCTTTCTGGCTCTCAACCAGGATATTTTAACACATGAAGGTAAAGTTGCTGTAATTAGCAGGGAAGTGTGGGCGGGAGCTGAGCTTGGGAGACTTCTAAAACTGTAGCCTTCAATATAATGTGTAACTCGGGACTCTGCAGAGTCGTCCTAAATCCTTTGGAAGCGTCTTGTGCCATCTCTTTAACATCCTGATTTTTGTGTTGTGCGCAGGAGTTCCAGCAAAGGAGACCTTGAACGGAGCAAGTCTAAGAGAAGACTGGTAACAAGGCCTATTCTTAAGTCATCATGGGAATAGGGATATCATAAATGGATGGGGCATAGTTGTCAGGCACCCAGAAAGAAATAGTAGTTCTTGAAATGTGTGATCAGCCGTGGGGCTTTTTGAGCACTTACTTGGCTTCTGAGTTGGAATCATTTATCATCATCATCATCATCATCATCATCATCTGGCCGGGCCTTCCCAGCCACTCTGGGTGGCTCCCAACAATATATTAAAAAACAGAATAAAACTTCAAACATTAAAAATGTCCCTAAACAGGGCTGCCTTCAGATGTCTTCTAAAAGTTAGATAGTTGTTTATTTCCTTGACATCTGGTGGGAGGGTGTTCCACAGGGCGGGCGCCACCACCGAGAAGGCCCTCTGCTTGGAAAGGTCCCCCCTCCACTCTGTATTGTGAAACACTGTATCTGAAACTAGAGTCACTGGCATAACTTTTTTTTTAAAGCTAGTTCTGTGTTTAATGTTGATTTTGAGATGATTTATGCATTTAAAATGTTTTGATGTGACATCCCCATTCTTTATTGCATGAATGCAATATTTACGGTACTTTAAAATGTTTTGATGTGACATCCCCATTCTTTATTGCAAAAGATTGGTAGAGTGAACTAACTTCTTTCTTCACCTCTTTTTTTTACAAGTCTGGCAGCTACAGGAATAATCTCCCTTCGGAGAGCAACCAAGAAACTCCAAGCAACAGTGAGAGTGAGAAAAGCTGGGTCCTTGACTCTCAGAAAAAGCTGGTGTCAAAATCCGCAGACTATACTCGGAAAAAGAAGAGGGTCAGGAGCAAGTTAAAAGGTGAAAATGGGGTATACCAGCACAGTTTTGAATTAGCCACCTGATGCAGACTAAATGAGAGATGTAGCCAGATTCTGTTTTGGTTTGGAAATGAGCCCTGAAAACTTCAGCAGGACTTGCACCCAAGTAAATGTGGATGGGGCTATAGCCAGAGCCTGTAACGACAGATACTTGTGGCTCTCTAGGCTTCATATTATTCCCTGCCTGGGTGTGGCTAAAATAGCTGTGTTATTAAGAAAAGCAGGAAGAATGCAAAGTGTGACTTGAGAGTGTGTATAAATGCGACAGTTTGTGGATTGGTAGTTCGCGTTCCAGTTAGTGTTAGGGGGTTAGAGTGGGGAGATTGGTCTATTTCCTCTTTTTTTTGGTTATAAAGGACTGTTGCATTTTGGGGTGGGGGGGAACAGGGCTATCCAATCCATTATGGGGTATGGAACAGGGCTGCCCAATCAAGGAAACTTCTGAAGCCATGGTTTCTTAAATAAGGTGCTTCCATTAGGCTTTACAGAGCATGCATCTATATAGAGAGTTGACCATAGAGTTGTAGAGTTGGAAGGGACCACGAGGGTCATCTAGTCGAACCCCCTGCAATGGAGGAATCTTTTGCCAAATGTGGGACTCGAACCCACAACCCTGAGATCAGGAGTCTCTTGCTCTATACTGGCTGAGCTATATGACACACAGAAATAGGAAGCTGCCTTAGAGCTAGTCAGGCCATTGATTAATAACAATAAGAATAATTTTATTTATACCCTGCCTATCTGGCTGGGTTGTCCCAGCCACTCTGGGCAGCTTCCAACACATTTACAAACATAATAAAACATCGAACAGTAACAACCTGATGCAAGATTTTAAAAGTCACAATGACTTTAAAATAAACAACTTACATCAAACAAAGCAACATTCAACAATCCATCGGAATCTAATAGTAAACAGTAAAATTAAACATCAGCAAATAATAATGAAACAGCTCAATAATCTAGCTCAAGATGTCCTACATTTTAGGGCTTTAAGCCTGGGACCTTGTTATGTTCTGAGTTGAATAGGATCCAAAAGGCAGCAGTCTGATTGGTCCTAGAACAATAGGATTCAGAATGCAGCAGTCTGATTGGTCCTAGAACAATGCAGCAGTATGATTGGTCTGCAGGAGCCACCCAACCCAGCTCCAGATGGAAGTGAATCTACAACCTGATTGGCCTACAGGAGAATTCCAGAATTAGCCAGTCACGTGCAGCCCCTTGTGTAAATAATGAATATAAAGCAGATACTTTGGGGGGAACTTTCATTCCTCCTCACCAACTATGAGCTGAATAAAGAGCATGAAATCCACTCTCGACTCAGAGTATATTTCAGACCTTCTACATGCAAAGCAGATGCGCTCACCACTGAGCTACGGCCCTCTTTTTTTAGTATCCTGCCTGGCTGGTAGATGCCCGTCTCATTTGCAAACTTCCAAGTTTTTCCTTTCTGAAGAAAGATACTGCACTAGCTAGAGCATCTATAGAGCATGGTGGTGATAGCTAGTGAAAGTTCAGCAGCCGGTGTTATATGTGTGCATGCGAAGAGATTTGTCTGCTGCCGTGGAGTTGCAGTCACATGACGGTGGCGCAATGTGCCTTGTGGATTGATGTGAGCCTGGGTTGCTGCATTTTAAGTTCTCTTTTGCCGAGGCAGCAAAGCATACAACTACCTTGAAGTCAACGTATTTTTCAAACTAGCTGAGTGGTTTATATGTTTTGTGTGCCGCAAAATGAAGTAACATCCTTTGCTTGTCCATGTGGGTTTGGGTTGTGTGTTTGTTTGTTTTTGGCTTATCTTTCACAAAGCTCAACCGCTTTTAATCTAGCACTAACGATCTCTGAAATTACCCAAGAATGCTGAGGTTCTTCAGTTATTGAAATACAGTGGTACCTCGGGTTAAGTACTTAATTTGTTCCGGAGGTCCGTTCTTAACCTGAAACTGTGCTTAACCTGAAGCACCACTTTAGCTAATGGGGCCTCCTGCTACCGCCGCACCGCCAGAGCACGATTTCTGTTCTCATCCTGAAGCAAAGTTCTTAACCCCAAGGTACTATTTCTGGGTTAGCGGAGTCTGTAACCTGAAGCGTATGTAACCTGAAGCGTATGTAACCTGAGGTACCACTGTATATGAAGCCTTAATCGGCAAGAGCCATTCATAAGTAGTATTTCTAGTTTGTTAACTTTAGCAGATTAGAAAAGCTATCTTGCGTTTCCACTGTTCTTAATGAATACCTTTTGTCTGCCCCTCCCTCACTTAGTATTGCCACTGTCTTCTCCAAGTAGTGGCAGCGATCACCGTGGAAAGAAGGTAAGGAAATGCTCTATTCTAATATTTATATTTTTTTATTGAGACCAGGCTCTTGCAGTGTCAGTAAGCCTATCATTCCTGAATCATCTAGATCTGCTTACATAAGAAAATCTTCATGTGCTGTTTCCGATTCTTAGAAATAATATGGCTGAATTTTAATCAAACTTAAAGGGATAGCAAAGATTCTCAGCCACAAGTCTATAACTCATCCATGTATCCCAGTGACAAAACACATCCTCACAGTGAGATTGAACTTGATTTCTTTCTTACTACTGCAGAAGCTGCCTTTATTCTATTGGTCTGCCTCGCTCAGTATTGTTTAAGCAGATTATCTCCCTAGAGTTTGAAATGGGAATCAATCCCAGCCCTGGTGAATCTGGAACCTTTTGCATAAAAACTATCTGCTCCACTAGTGAGCTCTGCGACCTTCCCAGTAGAGTATGTTTCATGAGCTACATGGGTAGATAATTTTCGTTTCTTAAGAGCCTGGGTTGCACATTCAATGCTCTGCTGCTAGACCTTTCTCCCATAGTAGACTTGATGCCTTTGCCTTCTCTTCCAGGTGGGGAGTTCACCGAGGGGGGAGCAAAGGATGGAGCCAAGCACAGAGCTGTATGACTTTGCCACAATGCAGCCACCAATGGTTTCCTCAACACCTATATCGCATGTTAGACACAGTAGGTGGTTCCCCCTAATATACCATATATCTCTGCGATTCTCAGGCTTTTGTTTTGAGAGGAAAAGATAAGCCAGTGGATCTCTGGAAAGCATAAGCTTCGTTCTATATCCTCTCTTAGTAGTTCTTGCCTTGATTGAGAGCTGAGTCCTTATCAGTCACTGCAGCGTCATCGCAACTTATGGGGGGGGGTCACGTTCCGGGGGTTTGCACGTTACAGCAAAATTGCATTAAGTCAGGACAACTTCCAGGACTGACCCTGTGCAACCATCCCTACCTGACTGAAGCCAGCATGCTGAGTGGGCCTTTGCCCCCAGACCAAAACACTGAGTTTTTAAGCCCTCCATCTTGCTTACTGGGCTCTGGCGAGGTCGCATATGAGCTCTGCAAGGTCTTGGGAGGCTCCCACAAGATCTCGCAGGGCTGTCCCACAAAATCTCTGTGGAGTTCCCCAGAGCCCGGAAAGCGAGGCAAAGGCAGAAAAACCTTGTGCAGAAATAGCTTTTGAAGCCCCTTTAGGCTCCCTTGCGGCCTTGGCAAGGAGCTATATTGGCACCCACTCTGTCCTTTGGCAAACACCAGCTCTCTTTGCCTTTCTTCTTGCACCCCACCCCATTGGGCTTGGGCCCTTGGCAGAGGCCAACCTGGCTAGTCCCTAGGGATGCTGCTGAGTGTGGAGTGGTAATGACTGAAGGGGGCCTGTATTCACTTGAATGCACTTGGAAGTCTCTCAACAATGGGGAAAGCCCATGCCATGGCAACCCTCAGTCGCTAAGAATTGTACCTCCTCCTTCATCTGCATAGCACAATCCGAAAATCTGTTTCTAAGGCCTGTTTCTCAGAACTGATGAGCTGGCAAGCCTATGTCTGGACTGTACCACTTGGATTAACTGGACTGTACCACAGTGGAACAACAACAACAACAACAACAACAACAACAACAACAACAACAACAACATTTGTATGCCACCCATTTGACTGGGCTGCCCCACTCTGGGCGGCTCCCAACAGAATTCTAAAAACATGATAAAATACCAAACATGAAAAACTTCCCTAAACAGGGCTGCCTTCAGATGTCTTCTAAAAGTCAGATAGTTGTTTATTTCCTTGATATCTGATGGGAGGGCATTCCACAGGGCGGGCACCACTACTGAGAAGGCCCTCTGCCTGGTTCCCTGTAACTTTGCTTCTCACAAGGCCATTTAGGGCTTTAAAGGTCAGCACCAACACTTTGAATTGTGCTCAGAAACATACTGGGAGCCAATGTAGATCCTTTAAGACCGGTGTTATGGGGTCCCAGTGGCCACTCCCAGTCACCAGTCTAGCAGCCACATCCTGGATTAGTTGTAGTTTCTGAGTCACCTTCAAAGGTGGAATACTTTCTCCATACATAAAAATAAAAATCCCTGGAGACAGTAAATAGCATGTCAAGGAGAAGAGTTGTAGTCTAGCCTTCTTGGCATATTAGTTTCCTATTATTGTATTGTTTTATTCAGTTGTGGGGGAAACAACATTCCACCCTCAAGTCCCCCCTTGCTCGATTGGACCCTGACTCTCAATCTCTAGTTTCTGGATTTGAGCCCCACATTGAGCAAAAAGATTCCTGCATTGCAGATGGGGTGGGACTAACTAGATAAGCCTTGTGATCCCTTCTAAAACTACGATTCTGTGATTCTTCTCCCTGCCTCAGTAGTGCAAAGTTCTACGTGGTTAAAGGTTTGTCACCTCATCCGCGGTTTGGGAGGCTGTGGTCTCAGCAAAATGTGACAGAATTGGGGGGGGGGGATTTGGGTAGTGGCTTGTCTGTCCAGATATACAGACTTCTAGGTAGATGGAGCAGCACTTCTCATTGATGCTTTTATGCTGTTGTGTTTTGGTGAGGTTCTGTGGACTTCAAGGACCTGCAGATGTGTCTCACAGATTAATTGCTTCTTTTTAGATGACTTGGAAATGGCGGGCGACACTTTGCCGAGTCACCTTTCGCCCAATAGTTCAGAAGCTGGAGCGAGCAAGGTACAGTTCCCGAATGTGTGGGTGACGTATTTGTGATATTTCACCTGTTCGCACATGAAATATAATAAAGCTGTGTGTGGAAACAGAAACGCTGCACTTGTTATTTGCAAACAGACAAACAGCGAGCCACAGAAACCAGAAAGAATGCAAAAAGGAAGAAACTTGATCTCAGAAGTGCTCGCCAGACAGATTTATTGCGGCTCAGCATGTTTCCAGCTTTCTTCTTTGGGAACGATCTTAAACTTCATTCAATTCTGTAGGGTAGCTGGAACAACATGAATGGCTGCTGCTGTCTTCCTGGCATCATGGTAGCACTATTTGCCAGATAAGCAATATGCAGACAAGCTGCAGAATTTGAAGAAAGATTTCAGATTGCTCCTGAAGAATGCACTCATGTCCCCAAATGGGCTGAATGAAAATGAGTTTCTCTCTGCTTTGCACTATCTCTGACTTTGTAATTCCCAGTAGTAATACAGTCGTACCTTGGTTTTCAAACAGCTTAGTTCTCAAATGTTTTGGCTCCCAAATGCCGCAAACCCAGAAGTGAGTGTTCTGGTTTGCAAACTATTTTTGGAAGATGAACGTCCGACGGAGCTTCTGCGGCTTCCTATTGGCTGCAGGAGCTTTGGAAGTCAAACGTTTGACGTGCAAGGTACGACTGTATGGGGATATCATATGCCCTTTTTTATCACCGTATTTTTTGCTCTATAAGACACACTTTTTCCCTCCTAAAAAGTATGGGGAAATGTGTGTGCATCTTATGGAGCGAATGCAGGCTGTGCAGCTATCCTTGAAGCCAGAACAGCAAGAGGGATTGCTGCACAGCGATCCCTCTTGCTGTTCTGGTTTCTGGGATAGCCAAGCAAAGCCTCTTCAGGGCAGCGAGAGCGTTGCTTTCGCTGAAGCCAGAACAGCAGGAGGGATTGCTATGCACCAAACCTTCTTGCTGTTCTGGCTTCTGGGATTCAGAATATTTTTTTTTCTTGTTTTCCTCCTAAAAAAACTAGGTGCGTCTTAATGGTCGGGTGCGTCTTATGGTCGGGTGCGTCTTATGGAGCGAAAAATATGGTACATACTGCAGTTGCCGTATTGTCTTGCTTTTGTTCTTCTTAGAAACATGAAGCTGCTTCTAGTACTCTGCCCATGGAAGACAAAGTCTCCAAATCCAAGCGGAAGTTTTCAGGTAAAGAGGAAGGGTCTCCAACCCCGCCCCAGGCATTTACAGTATCCTAAGCCCAGGGATATGAGCAGCCGCCATTATTGCAAGGCTAATAATAATAATAATAATAATAATAATAATAATTTATTATTTATACCCCGCCCATCTGGCTGGGTTTTCCCAGCCACTCTGGGCAGCTCCCAACAGAACACTAAAAACAGAACAAAACTACAAACATTAAAAACTTCCCTAAAAAGGGCTGCCTTCAGATGTCTTCTAAAAGTTGGATAGTTGTTTATTTCTTTGACATCTGGTGGGAGGGCGTTCCACAGGGCGGGCACCACTACCAAGAACCACTCTGCCTGGTTCCCTGTAACCTCACTTCTCACAGTGAGGGAACCACCAGAAGGCCCTCTGTGCTGGACCTCAGTGTCCGGGCTGAACGATGGGGGTGGAGACGCTTCCTGGTGGTGAAAGTTTGGAATCTCATCGTGGTATGGACCTAAGTTTGCTTTAACAGAGAAGTTTCACTGAAGTTCCTTGGGACTTAATTCAAGGAGAATGCATGTTAGCATTTGTCTGTCAGCAAGCAAAGCCTTATAAGAACCTCCGGCAACAAAGAAATGGGTTTGGGATTCTGTCTTTGCTAGATTTGTCAGCTGGTACCAGTGGAAAGTGCTCAAAGCTCACCAGGAGGCAGCCCAGGGATGAGTGCTCCCCTACCATTCCTTTTGTGGCAAGAAAACTCTTCAACTCCCCAGAGATGGAAGAGGAGACTCGGGAAGGTGACTAGTTTTAAGCAGAAACCAGCAAGCCTTTGCTGCAGCTGTACTGAATTGAATTCCTTTCACATTTCCTAATTCCCCTACTTCCTGTGTTTTGTTGACAGTTAAGATCTACCTGTGTTTTCCAGAACATTCCACTGCAGAGGTTTCTCCTTTGTTTTCATAGTAACTCTGGCTTCTAGCATCCATTGATGCTGATGCTTTTTTTAATGTACTCTGTGTTTGCCTTTTATTATCAGTTGCTCTCTGGAAAGGTGGCCAAGCTAGATTTGATGCTATGTGGTTTTTGTGTGTGTGTGTGTGTGTGTGTGTGTGTGAGAGAGAGAGAGAGAGAGAGAGAGAGAGAGAGAGAGAGAGAGAGTGTTAATTAACTAAATTTATATCTTGCCCTTCCTCCTAAAGAAGCCCAGGACAGCAAAACACATTGAATTGCTTCCAGAGCATTCCTTTAAAAAATGCTGCAGTTTAGTAGTGATTTCCCCAAGATACTGAGCATACACAAAGTTCTTATATTGTGTGTGTGTGTGTGTGTGTGTGTGTGTGGTGTGTCTTTCTTGCAGGCCATAATTTAGAAGAGTTAGAGGAAGACATATTTTTCTCCAAAATACTTGAGGAAGGAGCTGGTGATTCGGAGGTCATTGCTGCGTTTGAAAGCTTCACACACGTATTGAAGAAAACCTTTTGGGTAACTAATAATTTGCAACCTCATGCTTATTTTAAGTGCCCCGCGAGTTGCTTACAGACTGGCATGAATATTTCAACATGTATCTTCACCTGCTCCAAGGATTTCCCCCATTCTAATTTGCTGGCATTGTGACTAGTCTAGGTACAAGAGGATGGCAATTTCTACCCAAAATGTTCTGAGGACGTCTGAACGGCATATTTTGGCATTATTGAATCAGATTCATCAGGGCCGGTACGTGGCATCCATCAAATAACGGTGTGGCATCTCTTCTGCAGTAATTGCTGTCAAAAGCCTCAAGTCTTATCATGCATGTGACTTGTTATTAGTACAATTGCAGGAGGTTTGCAAGAAGAGACTGCTGTACAGTGTTGTTCACTTGAAGTGAAGATGACTATTCTTTTTTGTACAGAGGTTTTCCTAGAGCTATTGAAGCAGGCTTGGGAGCATTGTTATCTAAGCTGCTTCCTCCCTTATCTCAATCAATGAAAACTGTTTTCCAGCTTGTGTCTTCCATTTTATTAGGCTTGCTTTACTAGTCCAGCCCAAGAGGTGTCCATCAGGGAGTCACACTGCAGTACATGTCGAAGGACCTAGCTGGTGTAGCAGATGGTTCTCCTTATTCTGTTTTCCATGTTGTGTTTGCATCTTTCCCCCCCAGCTCTGTCAATTTGCATTAGTGAGATGAGTGTCAAATGCTGCTTTCCTGAAGTGGTAAAATGACTTATGTTTGTCCGCAACAGGCTGAATGAACTGGAACACTTCCACAAGACAGTTACCCAGGAACTTGCCAATCTCGAGAAGAGAACTCGGTTTCTTTCTAACCTTGAGAAGGATACTTTGGTGTGTGTATTTCTTTTCCATTTTATTTGTTGTCTGTGGATTGATTTAACGACTCACCTTGAGAACGTTTGTTTCAGGAATTTTGGACTAAGCAATCCAACAAACTCAACAGCAAAATGAGCAATTTTTGTATTCGTCAAATGCAGAGGTATTTATCATCTTGCTGTCTGTCCAACGTACGCCGCTTAAAAAATTGTGCACTGTTCTCCTCCGTCTGTTGGGCTTGCTATCTTCTGGGTACTTTAGCACATGTATCTCCACATCACTGACGGTGTCTCCAAATGGCACAACTGGAAGAAGCAAGCCCAGTTGACTGGGTGTTCCTTCTACTGTACTTTTCTTTTCACACAGCCACCCTGGAGTGAGTGGGTGGGTGTATATCTGCTCATGCTTTTCCAGATTATTTTATTTGAACAAAGATGTGCTTCTGCTGCCAGGGACATTGGATTCCCCCCAGCAATTCTCAAAGCCGCAATAAATTGTAAGTGTGGAGGAATTGAATGCCCCTCTTGCAACAAGCCTGCAGCACAACTTGTGTGTAAAATGTAAATGTCAATTTCCTTATCCGTAACCACAATTTCAAAAGCCATTTATGAAAAATGGCATTAAAATAATAATAATAATAATCAGCCCGTGCAGAACCAGTAATCCACAGAACATTTGCCAAATCTCGGCTTCCTGGCTCCTGTTTTTATTTTGTAAAAATTAAAAAAAGAGGAATAATAATGGTGACGCTAAGGGCCAAGTTGCGTCTTACATGAAATGCATCTTTAGTTTTGGGGTGTCGTTTTCTTTCTTTTTAAAAATAACAGCCATGGCGCACCCCCCCAGTTTGGATTGAGGCTTGTGTAGGAGCTAGTTCTGTAGTTCCGTCCCCATCCCTGTTTCTTTCATGGTTAGGACTTTGTGGCAGGAGGAGAAGGTTAAACCTTCCCTGGTCTCCAAAATCCATGTGGCCACTGTTGAGGATCTCATCCTTGCATTCATGGATAAACTGTTGGGAAAGGAGACTCCACCAGAGAAGCAAGTTTAGGGTCAGTCAGGCTGAAATGTTTGGGCCACTTTATGTAGTGGGTGCAATGTTCAACAGCCCGTCAGTGTCTTAGATGTCAGGGTTGCCCATCCCAGGCTACAGCTGTTGTCATACAAAGAGCTGCCTTAATACTATTGGCAACCAAAGTCATCAGGCAGCATCATGAGCTGTGGAAGAGCTGTGTTTCCCTTCCTCCCTCTCCCTCTCTCTTTTTCTTTTCCTCCTCACTTCGGCCTTCACCCTGGGTTTTGACTGCAGCTTGGGGGAGCATGAGCAGTAACTTTAGTGGCACCAAATTCAACTATACCCATTTTGGTTTCTTTCATAGGATACAGTCCATGGATTCTGAGCTGGAGGGAGCAGCAAAGAATCTGGAGGACGCAGCCCAAAATGGAAAGGTAAGGGCTGTTGCTGGGCAGATTGCCGCACATTACATACTGAACAGCGGGTATGAGTCTTGGGAACTACAAGGAGAAGCAAAGGCTCTTATTGAGCAGGGCAAGATGGCAGTTCTTTATCTAACTATTTAACACCTTCATTTATAGTCAGTACATCTCTGAGCCAAATCATGCCTTGGGACAAATCCACAGGCTCCCTGAGAGGAGGTGGAGGCTGCTTTGGTGTAAACTGTGGCTTGCTTTAACATGCCATCTGAAGCTTGGCTTCAGACTGATCGCAGCCTGTAACCAAGGTTTAGTCCTGGTGTAGTTAATGGGTTGGGTGTAAGTTTGAGAGTACTACTATTTCCTTATCCCTTTCCATAAAGGGTTTGCCACGGTCATTTTTTGTAGAACGAAGCTTCCCGCAGTCATAATGGCTTTTGTCTGTTCCTGTGATGTGTTGGTCCCAAATGTATGAAAATACTTAGGGTGGTATTCAGTGGCAGTGGGACTCGGAGTAGACCTATTGAAGTTAACAAGCCATAGGTTCATTTATTTCAGTTGGTCTCCTTTGAGTAGTACTTGGTGAATCTAGGTAAGGACTGTGCTGTAAAGCACTAATAGATTTTGCATGCTTTTTTTCTCCCCCACAGTTTGATGAAGCAGAAGATCATGAGGAGAGAAGCAAGACTTCTGTCATTGCCTCCGACTGATTAAAATTAATTTAAGCTGACCCGAAGAGCTCTGATCAATGCTGACGTGTCTGAATCATTTCTTAAAATATGCTGGACAAATGCCTTCAGTCCATAACTATAAACAATTGTCTGTTAACATGTACATCGATGCTTAAATGAGTTTTGCTCTCTCTCTTTCCCACAAGGGGGTAGTGTTGAGGGGTTTCTGGTGCCAACAATTTGGGAAATGCATAGCGTAGCTGATATTTCAGTTGATATCATTCCTTCCCATCCTTATCTGTCATTTATATTTTATAAGCAGCCAATAATGTTGTAAACACAAATTAAAGATAACCTTCTCCTAACAAGAAGCAATTTGAGTGTCCCCTGCCCCCCAATTTCTTATTGGATGAAAACTCTTTTTTATTATTTTATTATGATTTACCTCTTGCTTGACTTGTCTAAGGGACTAACTAAAAAATGTATTTGAAGAGTGCGGTCTGTTGGACACAAGTGATTCCATCTAGCAGTGTTTGGTGTGGCCCAAATCGCAGCTCCGTTTTGCCTGCCTCAAGTGCCCATGAAAGGGATTCATGTAGCAAAGAATGTAGGGCAACACAGTTCTTAAGCCATAACTGCCAGGTTTTAATAATACTGGTAACATGGGTAGAAAACAACTAAGGGGGGGCTCATGACTTACCCATTTCCTTTTGAGGTGCTGATTAAATGTGAAGAGTTGTCTTGCACTTCTACCTGACAGGGTGTAGTTTCCAAATTACGGTACTTATTTTATTTTATTTATTAGATTTCTATACAGCCCTTCATCGCAAGATCTCAGGACGGTTCACAAGATAAAAATACGACGTAAAAACACAAATAAATAGTTAAAACAGAAACATCAAAATAATAACCCCGCTCCCACAAACACATTTAAAAGGCTGTAGAATGTTAATCAACCAAAGGTGTGGTTGAAGAGGAATGTTTTCGCCTGACACCTAAAGATATTTAATGAAGGTACCAGACGAACCACCTCCACTAACAGGGAGCCACTGCAGAAAAGGCCCATTCTCGTATTACTACACTCCAGACCTCTTGGGTCAGATGATGAACACAAGAGTTTGGGTCAGTTTATACGGGGAGAGGCAGGATATAATGGGAATATAATAGGGCATGTAATGGGTGATAGAATGTGGCTCCCCCCCCCAACCTAGTGCTGGAAAAAATAATTAACACCCTTCCCCCACCCCCGTTATGCCAAATCTTGGGTATTTTCATATTCCAAGCTATTGCAAGAACAGAAGACCGCAAAACGCATTGACTGTAAAACGTGTTTTATTTTCAACGGCAAACACTGATACAGGAAAATAATTTCAGAAGTTGTTATCCTGATGGTTGTTCAGAATAGCAGCATGTTACTAGTTTTTGCGTATTCAGACATGTACCTGATTACGATTTTATCAAGTGGTTTTAAATCTACAGTGTATTTTTCAGCCCTTTGAAAGATTGAGTAAGGCAATGTTCCTCCCCTTCCCTGCCCCCCCCCCAGCACATCCTTAAAAATGGAACAAAAACCCTTTAAACCCAGGGGTGAGGTGTGCAGTTGCTAACACTCCCCACAGCCTCCAGTGCCTGCCAGCCTGGCCAAGTTGGATGGGAGTTGGGGCTTCAGCAACACCAGCAATGGTTAGCCACCCCTGCTGTGAATGTTCGCTGCACAGTAAACTTTCATACCTGAACTAACAAATACCAGGAGATCTGAGAGCTCCTCGGAATGGCTTGTCATTTTTGGATGAATTTCACATCCCCGATGCAAAGGTTTTCAGGCTGTGTTTGGATTAAAAGTGTGTCTGTCTCAGGTTAAAATTCAAACACCTGTTTGTTCCAAGAGTTGTTTTCAGCAGTCATCAAGTGTTGGAAGTCAAGTGGAACCATGTCTCCCGGAGACGAAGGAATCAAGCACCCATCACGGCTTCAGCAGGCTACATATCTGTAGGTTGCTGAACATGGGAGCTCCTCACACAGGTGGGGGTTGCTTCAGGCATTATGGAATGCTGGTGAGAATTTCTATGCCAGAACTCTAAATTCAAGTGGATTTTATTTGAGTAAAACAGAGGCAAAGAATTAGTCACTTCAAGGATCTTTCTGGCCACACTCAAGTGGTCATTTGGTTTCATGTAGTGCTGTGTGTACTACCCTCTAGAGGGGAAAAGTGTCATTGCTTCCTGGCTTCCACTTGAATTCCTAAAGGTTGATAGTTTCTAAGAATCAAATGCTTAGGGTGCTTTGATGAATCTTATTTTCTTACTGTTTTTACCCATCAGTGGCAACAGTTCACCTTCATAAAGGCATGGTGCATATATTTGCTCCCCCCCCCCCAGTTTTCTAGCAAAGCTTTTTTCTCCCCAGAGTAAGTCCTACTGATTTAAGTGAGAATCATTTGCAAATAAACATGCTCAGGGTCATAGTCCTTGTGCTAACGCTGAGCTTTTAGGATTCTGTTGTCTCCTGCACCTGGACTCCAGACACAACTATTTTTTCCTTTCCCCAACGCTTCTGCCTCCTCATCCTCCAGGTTTTAATGTGTGCCGATTACATTTGGAGCCATCAGTCATACAAAGTTAGGGTACCAAATTGTCTAAGGTGGCTGGCCTTGTTTGCACCAACTGGGAGAGGGGTGGCCAACATGGGAATTAAATAATGGATGTGTGGAATGGTAAGTGTTTTTCTCAGCAAGGCTGAGCGGTCTTAGCTGCAGAGCTGCTTCCTGCTGCTGATGTTTTGTCATAGTACAGAATCAAGCAGCTGCTTGGTAGCCTGAATTTCTTAGGTTCATACTAGGAATAAAAGCTGCATTAAACCAAGCTCTGTCACTACCAATGTCCATCAGCAGCAAATGTTAAGTGTCCCACAAGATAAAACTGTTTGAAAGGGGACTGTATGCTTTGATGACACTTACGAATGTGTGGCAGAATCTAGCTTCTTACCACTGTAACCGTAGGCCATAGCATCCGAGTGGTGAACAGGCTTAATCTGCTGGTAACAGAACACACCTAAACAGGTATGGTGGCTGCTAGAATAGAGTAGAGAGAGAAGCACTTAAATGTCGGAGAAGGTGGCTCAAGCATATGGGCTTATGGACCCACAGCAAGAAATTAAGAAGGCGCAAAGCTCATGAAGTAGGGGTTCAGCTTTCAAAACGGGGGCTGCTGGTGGTGCAAGTGATCTGACTTATCATATTTTAATGCTAAAACTCTGAGGCTGCAATCCCACACAATGGACACTAAGTCCCATTGAAATGGGTAGGATTTATTTCTCAGCAAACCTGTATAGGGTTGCCTTAAGTCTTATCAGCTGTGCACTTTCATGCTCCAGTATTGGTGATGCCTGCCTGTAAGCAAGCCCCTCTTCCTGGTTTCCACAATGCTTCATAGGAAGACTATTATGGTGCATCTAGTGAACTTGTATTCTGCAGTCACACAGATTTAAAACCAGGGGGTTGGATATAAACCATACCTTTCTTGGTGAGCCAAGGAAGCATTGTGAAGGGTAAAAAAGACAATAGCAAGGTTGCAGTCGGCTCTGTCAGATGACCGATCGCTGCTTAGCATAACGGGTTATGCCCCAACACATTTTCTGCAAGGTGATCTGCAGCTGGTATACCTGTTGCAGCACATTTTTAAAGGGTGGCAGCAGGTACACCAGCGTTTGGATGGTTTCAGGGTGGACAATGCAGTTCAGGTGTTCTTAGTTGGCACGTGAAGTTGGAGGAAATTCTGGAGCACCTTACACTGCCTCTTGCCAGAACGTGGAGTAAGAGCAATCCTCTTACCTCTCTTTATCCCCATGAAGATATTAACAAAGATTTTTAGTATACAAGTCACTTTTTTTCCTGGAATCCAAGGGGGGAACAAAGTTAGTGTCACCATGCAACCATACTAAAACACACACTTCTTCCTAAGACAGAGATTATATACTGTATGTCTGCACAACTAATACCTGTGAACCTGCCGCTGGTTTCAATAGGTAGGATTTTGTTCAAAGCACCACCACCCCATACCTTCATTATCCCAAGGAACAACTCTTGTCAGGCATTCTGCCCACGATTAAAATTTACAAAATGTGGCTTTGTTTTGGCTGGGTGAAAGAGACAGCATGTCCTCACCGTTTCGATGGAGGTATTTATCAAAACACTTGAAACTACGTTGTTAAAAACAAGTCATCAATCGTGAGTTAAACAAGGGAGTAAAAATTGCTAAACGTTAACAAAACAGAGTCGAATCTTGTACTACAGCTGTGCACAACTGCCTGGTCAACTCGTGTTTTGGGGGGGCCTTAGCAAAAAAAAAAAAAGAAGAGGAAGGATTTTGTACACTACAGTATAATAAAATATATTATTGTGCTTTTTTGTTCAGAGCACCATTAGATGCCATTATGTAGTCTTTATGGAACCCGTTCTTGACTTCTGTTACTAGAGAGGCCTCTTTTGTATTGGTTCTTGAAGGTCTTTTCCGATATGTCTGGAAGGAAAAACAGAAGTAATCAAAATTAGGGCCATCCTCTTCTAAGTAGATTTGAACATTTTTAGCCATAGCCAAACTTCTTTTTCCTGCAGTTAAAAAGCATACAACAGCATGACTTCTGTTTTAACAGTTTCCACTATTGACAGTGCCTCCTTATCCAGTATTTTTTCCAAAGGCTAATGTACTAATATTTCTCCTCACAAAATAAACATACACAGGGCTGTATCCAACTAAGGTTCACATCAAGTAGACCTGCTGAAATTAATGGACCTAAGCCATTAATGGGTCTACCGTGAACAGGACTAACAACTGATGCAACCCCAATTGAATTCTAGCCTTCATCAAGCTGGTGTTATGGCAACTGCTGTAACATACTGGTGCTGGCTGTAGAATATCATACTCAACAGAATGGAGAAAATGCATTCATTATCCACAGAGAAATCTCTTCCAGAAGCCCAGAAAATGGAATGGCAGTTCAGAAGAACAGAAATGTGCTCCTGAACTTGCACAGAGAAATTCATTGCAGATGCATTTGTTTGAAATACATGGTATCATGTTGGAGAAATTCTGTTTTTGTATGTGTTTGCTTTTGCCACTACTTAACTCTCTCTTAACAAAACCTCTTCCTTATAAGTTACCTAAACAAACTCAATAGACATCCTTTATAGAGGGCTAAAAAGAAATGAATCAGCAAAACCACTAGAGGTCAGCAAGTCAGCAGCAGTTACCCGACTGCCCGCCACTGACTTCATCATCAGCCCTGCTGTGGCTTACTAGGAGAAAAAGGTGGAGGGGTGGTGGTGCAGTGCAAACCGATCAGAGGCCACATTGCATTGGCTCAGCCAGTGTGTGTGCACCAGCCTCACTCCCCTCAGCAAGCTATAGAGATGCTGCTGACTACCCAGCCAACTGCTACAGAGAAGAACACCTACAACAATCTTAGATGTAGATCTATTGCATCTAGAAGTGATTTTATCTACACTTGACTGCAGGAAGAACTGCTGAGCTGTGCTATACAATAAATTTAGAGCTGTTTTGTAGTGTTTCCCCACCCCAGGCTGTTGCTCCAGTTTCTTTTCCCATTTAAGCATTGCTGTGCAAGATTTCATAGGAAAGTCCTTTCATTTGATCCTTTCCCACACTGAGATCCAGCGCCGAGGGCCTTCTGACGGTTCCCTCATTGCGAGAAGTGAGGTTACAGGGAACCAGACAGAGGGCCTTCTCGGTAGTGGCGCCCGCCCTGTGGAACGCCCTCCCTTCAGATGTGAAGGAAATAAGTAGCTATCTTATCTTTAAAAGACATCCAAAGGCAGCCATGTTTAGGGAAGTTTTTAATATTTAATGCTGTATTGTTTTTAACACTTGATTGGAAGCCGCCCAGAGTGGCTGGGGAAACTCAGCCAGATGGGCGGGGTATAAATAATTTATTATTATTATTATTATTATTATTATTATTATTATTATTTGTCAGGGGTTCAGGGACAGAGGCACAGGTGAGGGAGGAGACGGAGAGCGAGGGGGAAGAATCCCAGGACAGCGAGGAAGAGGATGACGATGACTTGAGGGATTCCATGAGTCTTTCAAGTGAATCGGAGGATTCCCAGAAGGGGGCGTCTGTGGTAAGGCCAAGGGGAGTCACAGGGGGGACTCGTCAGGAGCAGGGGATCAGCAGGGGAACCCAAAGTGGGAGCTGGGAGTCGGGACCGGCTTCTCCGCCAGAGCGCAGCGAAGGGGGTGGAGATTCCAGTGTGACAGGGGAAGCAAATCCGAAAGCAGAGAGGGAGGGGAGATCGGAGCAAGACATCCTCCCGGAAGGGGAGGGGAGTAGTGCAGGGAGTAGTGTAACTGTCAAGAGGAAGGTTAGAGGTTGCGAACGCGCGCCAAGTTCAAATGTGGAGGCGCGCGGAAGCACAGGGAGCCCGGAGGAGGAGCCAGGTCCCAAAGCACGCAGGAGGGGGGAAGAGCTGTCTGGGGATTCAGCGTCAGGGGAATCCAGGAGGGGCGAAACCCCAGGGGGCAGAAAGACCCTGCGGAAAAGGAAAGAAAGGAAGAGGTGGAGCAGCACAGCCCTCTTAAACTGGTGCAGAGGAGGGACTGACTCAGAGGGGACTTCAGCGGTCTAAGCGTAACAGACGTGGGGCTGCACGCCTCGGCTGTGGAGCGTACAATGAACTTCAATAAACATTTTTGTATATAAACTGGACTTGGCGTTGGTCTCTTGTGAGCTGGGACCTGAGGCAGCCCTGACATAATTATTATTATTATTATTATTATTATTATTATTATTATTAATTTATTTATTACAGAGGTTGAATAGAGTATGTCACAGTAGTTGCATTCTGTCATTGGTGTGCTATTTCTCTGTGACACAACAGCATAAAATTCCAACCGTGTATGTATAGGATAAAAGGGGTTAGCCATGCTGCTGTTCTTTTTTTAAAAAAATAAATAGGCACATAGATACGTAATTGGGAGACCTCTGTATAATGTTTGTGAAATTACTGTAGGCAGGGGAGGGATGTGCTTTGCCACCTTCTTTTTTTGAAAATGCAGGGTAAAGCATTCGAGCGCTAGATTTGCTGAAATGTGAACAGCGCTGCTCTTACAAGCAGCACTGAATGTGCTACCATCTCAAATAATTTAGATAATAAAACAAGTAAAGATAATAATATAGTGTAGCTTTGAGTACAAGAAGAACGCTGTAACTCTTAGCAGAAGAACAGCCTTGAAAAAGAAAAAAGTAAGTGGAGCGTGTGAAACAAGTTAATAGCAAAGCAAATTTATTGCACAGAAAAGTGATGTGGAAAAGGTGCTTGTGCTCTCTCGCTTAAGAATCTGTCGCTGGAACTAAAGTTGCCCTTGATTCTGGCCCATTCTGCACCCGGAGAAGGGATAAGAGCCACTGTAGTGTAGTGGCTAGAGCAGGCATCCCCAAACTCGGTCCTCCAGATGTTTTGGGACGACAACTCCCATCATCCCTAGCTAACAGGACCAGCAGTCAGGAATGATAGGAATTGTAGTCCCAAAACACCTGGAGGGCTGAGTTTGGGGATGCCTAGGCTAGAGTGCTGGACCAGGATGTGGGAGACCAGGGTTCAAATCCCCACTGAGCCCATGATGCTCACTTGGTGTCCTTTGAGCAGGGGGGGGGGAGGAGGGGAGAAGAGTCACTATCCCCTAGCACAACCTGGGAGGGGGGAAATTGGAAGGAGAACCCATGTTGGCTTCAGCTCTTGGGGGGAAGGTGGGATGTAAATCTAATAATAAAGCTAATACTGGATTAAATATTTCAGCCCTGCTTCACCAAGAAAGGTCTGCCCACAGAAACAGCTTCTCCATATGCAGCAGATAAACCTGCATTGCGAAGCCCAGCTGGGCCTGGGTGAAGCGGCCAGATTATTTTCTTTTGATGTGGATGACAAATGCACATTCCTAACTCGGCCTGCCCATCATTTTCCATTAGGACTCCACTGTAGCCATTGAAGCATAATTTTTGCCTGTATTTGCTGAAGCTTTGTAGTATAGAGTTTGCTGGATTCTGCTGAATTGGTGGACACACTAGTGGACATCTATCTTTTCATTATAAGTGAAGGTTCAGTTTGATTTTGCTGTCACGTTTCCTTTCCCCCACATTTCACGGGAATTGAATACCGGCAAGGAGCCTTGCAACAAAGGCTCTTAACATTGCAGAATTGGACACGCCAATAAGAAACATTATATCACACTGCAGTGGATGTTGCATAATTGCTGACGGCATGACTTTTGCTTCCTTCACCTCAGTGCCCCCTTCAAGTTCAACTCAATGAACAATTTGAGGAAGATACATAAAGTTTGTTTTAAAAACCAGCATGGGGCGGAAACCAAGCTTGACACCGTTAAAGCTAGGAATGCCAAGTTTCAAGACACTCTTCATTAAGCATATGCAGCTATCCTTTTCCTTTTCAACTTACCTGAACATAGAAGTTAACAAACAGAATGACCAGTGTGGCCATGTATGAAGACTGGAAGATGAGGCAACCAAATGGAAATCCACATGGCTTCACAACTGCACTGAGCGTGTGTGTAATGGTGAGCAAAAACTGGATCTGTTGAAGAAAGAAACATCAATGCCCATCATTTTCAGGATTAGGCCTTCCCCAGGTGAAATTCATACCCCTTTCTCATGACTGATGGTTGTGTTGTCAATCTACAAGTTCCGCTCTACCACCGTTCACCTACATTTAATACCCAGGTTGTTAATGAATGTTAAAAAAACGGCAGTTTCCCTTTGGAATGGCTGTTTTGCTGGAGAGAAAAGCCAGGGTGACTTCACATCAATTCTGTTCAGAAAGTTACAGGTCGCACCTTGACACCATAGCGGCAGTGTTGACTACTCATACCTGTTGACGCTTGTGGCAACACCAACAAAAATAAGGCCATTAATGTTTTAGGGGTTCTTACATATTCTGTTCACCTGGCCTTAATATCTTGAGTAGTTTGCTTAGTGCATGGAGAGCTGTGATGTCTGATGGCACCAGCCTGGAAACTCTCCAGGTGATGAAGTGTCACTTAATGCATGAGTTTTCTACAAGTCAAGACAGGAGCATGGAGCAGCCGTGCTCCAAATTGCAACAGCGTCAATGTGACGGGCATAACACTATCCCTCAAGAGCACATCAAAGAACATGCCCATACATCATCTCAACACAGAGCAGCTCTGGCTATTACAGTGTTGCATAGGGGGCAGGATGCACAAGTGCAACACCCAGTCATATCTGGTTGTCCTTCGAATTTGAACCTAGCCAAGGCTCACACTAAAACATGGGGCAGTGTCAATGAGTAGAGGGATCAACTACAATTACACTGGGGCTACTTCTATTCCTGCCAGCACTTGGTGTTGCTCCAGTATAGCATATTCCCCCACCCCACCCACAAAACACCCAGTTCTTATAAGATCCTTGTGGCTTTTTAAATTGATTTACATCCATCACACTTCTCCCAAATACTGGCCTTGAGCAACTCATTGCCTGGCTGTGTGTTCCTTGCTTCTTCCAAGACATAAGGTCTCTTCATGGTTCTCCTGGTGGAGCAGCTAGACTGAGATGGCCCCAAGCCTGATTCTATGTAGAATTAGGCATACACATCTTAGAAGATTTGTGTTGCAGACAAACCTACTACATCACGCTGATTCCCACATGCAGCGTGAATGTGTAATGCATGATGCAGTTGTGCATATACATGTTTGGAAGCTGGGATAGGGCTGTGGGTCCTTGCCATTGTGCAAGTGTCCCTGGACAGTGGAAAAAGAAGGAGCATAATCTGCCTTGAAGAACTAAAAGCTTCCCCACCCTCAACTTTGTCCTCCATTGCAAACTGGCTCATTGCTAGCTTGACCTTGCTACAAAGGATTTATATATTTATTTTCAGAACTACGGTCAGTACAAATGACAAAATGTTGTAAGTGTACCAGTTGTGCCTGAGTGAGGTATTTCTTCCACCACAGATACTTGCGCATGGATGGAATGACGGACAGTCCATAGTAGGAGTACATGAGGACGTGGATAAAACTGTTCAAGGGTGGGTCCAAAGAAACCTGTGATTGAATTGAACACATTGTTAAGACCTTGCTTCTGAGAATCAATACTATGGTTCACTGGCAATGTAAGGAACTGGCAGGGTTTCCTTTGGCAGCCAAGCTCAGAGCCTCTATTACCATGGCATGGGAGTGTTACATAATGATGGTTCCGTGAGTTTATGCTGTTTTCCTTCTTGTAGCCTATATGGGTTTCTTTCTAACCTTGTTCAAGTGGCGTTGGTTCTGTAGTGAGTTCTTGTTCAAGTGGTGTTGGTTCTGGTGGTGGACTGGGGAGACACCAGTGAAGCCATATCTCTATGGCGTAAGGTGCAGGACGAGCCTAACCCTACACCTGAGGCCATAGAGATGTGGCTGCACCGAAAGGGGATTTGCAAGCACCACTAAGCGGGTGGTGCCTACAGAGTTCTGTGCATAGTTCTCTACAAGCACTGGCGATTAGTTCGGGCTTCGCAGGCTGTGCATTTGCTAGCATGGTTCGATTCCAAACTGCAGGCAAAAACATGCAATCTGATGTCATTCGTATGTCAAATGATTGACAGATAGACTGCCCCACCTGTCAGACTTGATCTGTGGGGGATGGGGAAGATAGCACCTTGCTCTAGCCTTTGAAAAGTTTCTCACCCCAATATAATTATATGCAAGGAGAATAAAAGGGGGGGATGGAAACCAGGGGGGCAGGGGGAAGTAAATTAATGAAAATTTGGATTAGATATGTATATAAGATATGTATATATATTTATATGTATATATAAAAAGAAAAAATGGTATTTTCAAAAATGAAAAATAAAATATTTTTCTTTTAAAAAAAGAAAAGTTTCTCACCCTTGCTCTATCCTTTTAAAACTGCAACCGGTTCCTGTGTTAATCGGCTAATTAGCTCAGAATCATTTCCTTTACTTCACCTCACTACAAGGGGAAAATAGATCTATGAGTCCCCTCCAACCTTTGCTCTGCTGGAGGACTACAGAAAATTCTTGCATCCTCAGTATTTCTCTTTGCACAAGAGACTCAAAAAGGAAGAAGCAGGGGCTTCTGCACAATGCTCACAAACCAAGATTGGGATGGTATGCATGTGAGTTTTGAACTAGTGATCTCAAGGAATGTGCTGCAGTATTCTAGCTGTTCTGCGCACTTTAATCCATCACACCATCTGCAGGATACAGGAGGTGTCTGAGGTCAATTCTACAATATACCGTATTTTTTGCCCTATAGGACGCACTTTTTCCCCTCCAAAAATGAAGGGGAAATCTGAGTGCGTCCTATGGAGCGAATTCAGGCTTTCGCTGAAGCTTGGAGAGCGAGAGGGGTCGGTGCGCACCGCCCCCTCTTGCTCTCCAGGCTTCAGGAAGCTATCAGCAAGCCTGGGGAGCCCGCAGGAGGCTGGAGGGGGGGATAATTTTTTTTCTTTATTCCCCCCCCCAAAAAAAACACTAGGTGCGTCCTATGGGCTGGTGCATCCTATAGGGCGAAAAATACGGTACTAAATGCAGCAGAACATTTCAACAGAGCAAAATGGCAACTGAGTTGCTGCTGTGTGTTTACTTCAGGCGGAGCATGAGCCTAACAGCTTACGCAACATTTTGTTCATGTTTACTAAATGAGATTCACCTCCACTTTCCCCCAAATGGCAGGACTGCATAGATCTGCTGTTAGATCTATCATATATGAAGGTACTCTAGGTGTGTTGCTTGGTTACATTTTAAGTCCGCGTCTCCGAATACTAACTTTGTCCGCAAGGTATCCAGTTCATGACGCACCACCAGATGTTAAACATAGTGGCGTGATGATAAACGTGAAGGAAAGTAATCTGACTGTTTTTCTTCCGCAGAACAAAGAACATCGTGTCAGCAAATTCAATGACTTTGGAGAAGTAATACCACCACAACACCTTGGCCACCTGCAGGAACAAGACAGATGAATTAATACCTCTCTTCTTGGAGGAACATGTTCTGCTATCCTTGAATAATCCTTTAGTCAGGCAAAACTCAGATTTAAGATATTTTCCTATGGCTTAAAACAGGGGCGATGAACCTGCCCTTCTCAAACTGTTGTTGGGCTTCCACTTCCACCATCCCTGGCCATTGGCTGAGAGGAGTTGTAGTCCATCAACATCTGGATTGCCTCAGATTTCCCATCTGTGGCTTAAAGTAATCCAAAATTGGGTGCTGCCTGGTCCTATGCAGATGCAAGCCCCCCCCCCCCCATATTCCATGGGGCTTACTCTTTACAGGCACAGGTCTGCACTTAAAAGCTCTTTGTCCTAGCTTTGCCTTTTGCCTTGGCGTTTTCTCCATGAAAACTCACATTTTAGTGCTCAATCACAGCAAACATCAATTCAGGTTTTCTGCGGGTTGCTGTTTGCACCAATTGAGCTTCAAAGAGTGGGTTTTAAAGAGCAAACAAAAGGGTTCCCAGACACAGGGCTTTTAAGCATGGACCATGTCTGGAAAGAGCAGTGTGCACAAGCCGAGAGAGTGCAACAGATTCAGACTTCGTTCCTAGAGGTAGTCTTAAACACAAGCCATTGGAAGTAATCCTCGTAGATTCCAGTGGGATTTAATTCTGAGCAACTACAATTCCTGTCTTAGAAAAGGAACCTACTTAGTATGCAATGCTGAGTCCCCGAGCAGCTGTTGTTTATTAATGCCCTCTCTCCTTTGCATTTTCTCAGCAAGGCTTCCAAATTACTCCTCAGAATCACGATCTAGCAGCAGAACTATGCAATTCATGGTGGGCTTTGCAACAGGGTATCAGGCTCTAATAATGGATAATGAATTGAGCAGAACAAGTAAATTGTGCGAGGTATTTACATATGGCCCTGCATGCCACTGACTGTGGAGAAATTCTTACACACGGTGGGAGTAAATACAATGTTCTCAGCTTACAAAGAACATGCTTGCTATAATCAGAGGCTGCCTTATGTTGGGGCAAATCGTTTGTGCAATATTTATTTACTTACTCTCTCTCTGTTCTGCCAGACTAAGTTTCTGTGCTACAAGAGTGTCGTGTACCATATTTTGACAGGGGAATATCTCCTTGAATCCCAGCTTGGGAGAAAGGAGAGTTATAAGTACATTAAATCTCTACTATGACATTTAATTGATTTTATATTCCACCTTTCCTCTGAGGAGCTCAAGGTTCTCCCCTTCCCCATTTTATCCTCTCAACAGTCTCATGAGGGAGCTAAGGCCATAGGTCCCAACTCTATGGGGCTGAAGATACCAGAGCCCCCCTGAAATATGTGGGGATGGGGCTGACCCTCCCCCCCCAATATTGAGGGTCTTGGCTGCTGCAGGCCTTGTCAGGCCTCCCTGCAGTGGCAGAAGATCCAGCTGGGCCTCCCTGCAGTGATGTTGGGCCTCTCTATGGTCAGCCCCAAGGCCTCCTCCCAACACATGTGATGTCACACGTGTGTGCTGCACTTGTGACATCACACACACGTGACAAAGCCTCCCAACGTCAAGCATAACTTGGCACGTATGGTTAAGGCTAAGAGTCATTGACTAGCCCAAGGTTACCCATGGCTGAGTGGGAATTTGAGCGGGAGATAATAGGAACTGTCCTTTGTATTAACTCATTTGAATGCTGGGGGGGGCAGGTACAACAACCCTGCATGTATTTGCACAATAAGCATCCATCTAGAAGCACCATCACTTCTTGCAGGTACCAAATTCCAGAGTTTAGCTGTGCCCCGAGTGCATAATTCAGTTAAGGCAACTGCCTGGGGACCAAGTACTGATATGTTAAGAGCATAGGCAGGCAAGCAAACATCAGAGAGGGTTGTTCGTTTGTTTTTTGTCTTTTTTTGTTTCAAGGCTATGCCAAACACTGCCTTTTATCTGGGTCACCTTAACTTCAACTGAGCTAGTTGCTCAACTTTTTTTTGGGGGGGGAAACAGCACAGGTCACAGGCATTTCCCTGAAACAAAGTGGGCAGAAGATCAGCAGAGATGGCTCCTCGGTGCTTGCGCCACCCAGACCAGCAGTCTGAGCCTACAGCCGCAGCCCCACCACAATACAGTCATAGCACTGCCACCAGCAACACCAGGGGCAGGTACAGCGATACCACCAGCCTCATCATCACCAGCTGCCCTCCTGCCCTCAATGAAGCTGAATTGGGGGAGGGGGGAAGCAGCAGGGAGGGTGATCATTTGCCGCCGGAAACAAGCACTTCACCTAACGGTAGGGCCAGCCGCGACGCCACTTGTTGCCAGAAAACCCATAGGAAGCTACCGTTACTGAACCAGACTAGTGGGTTCCTCTAGCTCAGGGTTTCCCAAATGTGGGTCTCCCGTTGTTTCTGGACTACAATTCCCATCACCCCTGACCACTGGCTTTTGCTAGCTAGGGACGATGGGAGTTGTAGTCCAAAAACAGCTGGAGATCCAAGTCTGGGGAGCCCTGCTCTAGCTCAATGTTAGTTACGCTAACTGGCGGTGGCTCTCGAGGGTCCCAGGCTGAAGTCTCCAGGCACTGCCTGAAGATGCAGGGGATGGAAGCAGGGTTCTTCTGCATGCATTGCAGATGTGCTACCCACTGACCTATGGCTCTGTTCCTGTCTATGCAACAGCCTATGCCTAGCTCCTCCCGCCTCATTTCCCCTCCAATTAATTTTCATAAAAATGCTTTCCCACCCCAACAACTGTACTCCCTTTCTTCTTATAAATTAATTCCCTACCCCTCTCCTACAACTTAGTTTGCGTCAAGACTCACACGGGCTCAACCCAGGAGCGTTGTCTTCAATGCCAATTCTCGAGTCTGGAAATACGCAGGATTGGAGGTTAAAAACCTTGGAGGTTTTTAAGAAGAGGTTGGACAACCATCTCTCACGTGTGATCTAGCTGAGATTCCTGCATTGCTAAGGGAGGGCTGGACTAGATGACCCTTGGGGGTCCTTTCCAACTCTACAATTCTATGGTTCTATGCATGTGAATAGTGCCTTTGAATATGGAGGAGAAGAAACAGCAAGCCAACAGTAAAAGCATCTAATGTGAATTCAGCACCAAGGCTTTTGGGAGGAAAGTTCAGAGGGAAGTGAAATTGGCAATTGCAGTTAGAAGAATACCTTTCGTGCCAGTTCTTTTTCTTGTCTCACTTAGAACTCTAAGATTAAAGATATAAAGAGTATACAGAGAGAGATATACACAGACCCACATACACATACAAGTTTGATAGGCAGTTTCTTTATGGCTACTCTCCGATTCCAGCTTTCGCTACCAGGCATGTAAATAGTGCAAAAAGGGAAAGAGAAGGAAAACATAGCTTCTTTTCTAGAATTGGGTCCTGGCTGAATCCAGACAGCTGGTGAAGAAGGCGCAGCATGAGAAGAGATACATGGAGAGGTAGGAAGCATTTTCTTAATTTTGAAGGGGGGGAATAGCCTCTCTTAGCTGCAGAAGGTTGTAAACTTTTTCCTTTTGAAAAACTATTTTTAGGAAATGCTTGCTCAAATTTTCCCATTAAAAAGCACCAGCATAAGCTGTACACCACAGAGATTGTCATGTGAAAAAACAGCCTCAAAACAAACAAACAAACCCACCACAATGGACAAAATTTAAAAGGCAGAGTTAAAGATTAGCCATAGAATGATAAATGCATTTTTAAAAAAATTTCTACCAAGGTATAGAAATGTGGCAATGGTGCGATCCTCTATATACCTATCCAGAAGGAAGCCCAATTGAGTTCAGTGGGACTTGCCCCTAAGCTAAGTGTGTATACATGAATACAGCCTAAGAAAGAATTGTGAGACATTAAGGTGAGGCTAGCCTAGCCTTTGCCAACCTGGTGCCTTCCAGATATTTTGGAATACGACTCCTGCCAGCCTCACAGCCACCTTTCCGTTCTTGGGTTGCTTTTTGTTTCTTACCCGGATGTCGGCTTCTCCTGCACTGGTCAGGTTTTGACATTGTAAGTTATAACCTCCTTCCCAAGTGGCAAGAATTAGCTGGAGAAGAAGAAGAAAGATTCTGTTACTCCAAATAGAATTTCCCATTGTTAATAATTATTAATCGCTGCAAGCATGTGGGGTTTTGAAGGGTGGATAGCTTTCAGCTCTATGCATGGTAACAAATTTAAATCCCTGTTCTCATAAATAAAGATGTGCAAAATTATAAGTATGGGGGGGATTTAAAATCATGAAAGAACAACAACAAAAATCACCAGGAACAAAATGGCAGGTATCTTCAAAAATTTCAAACCTAAGTCTCACTACTAACACCCTAAATAAATATCTACTTTGTGTCTGATCCAGACTAAGTCAGTCTTAGATCCCAAGGAAATCAATGAGATGACTTCTTCATTACTGAAGTCCCATTGGTTAATTAAAGGTAACTAAGTCTGAATTCTCAGTTTCGGGGGGGCGGGGGGAATCACCACTATGAGTTCTGCTCAGATCTAATCCAACCGTCGACCTACAAGCAATGTTTCAAACTATTCATGTTAAGCATTTTACCCATCACTCAAAATAATGGTGCTGATTTGGAGCTTCCTGCATATAACAGTAGGCTGAATGTGTCTACCTGCATTCAGGAATCATCCCAGTCTCCAGGGGCAGCCTTTGGTACTATGGTGCCCTGAGCTAGGCCAAAATTTGGTGCCCCCCTCCAGGCCTTCTGCTGTTTGGGCTTTGGGAATGAGGTGTGAGGGCTCAGGCCGGGTCCTAGAGCCCTCCCTGCTCCTTCTCAAAGCTAGAAAAATGCTAAGTAGGTTTTGGGGAGGAGGAAGAACTATAGGACCCTGTCACAGCTTTCATGTCAGGGCCCAATGTGGGGAAAACTTCCTCTGCACTCTTGATTCCCCCCCCCTTACATGAATAACTACTTTGCATGTGTGAACCTGATCCCTAAGGAAGTATGTTTCCATGTGCAGTATGCAGGATCAGAAAAAGCAATATTGCTTTGTAAGTTCAGCTTTGTAAGCTCAGAAGAAAATGGGCATTCATCTAAAAGACAAGCAATAATTATTAAAGGAGCTGAAGAAGGTATGAAAGACAGGCATGAACCCCTTCCCCCTTGGTGGAATTGTAGTAGTTCTTTACAAACATGTTGCAGGGTTCTATTTCTTTTTTTTTAAGGCTGCTTGCATAACCATTGACTCTCCCTATATTTCTGTGACAGAGCCACTGTTGCCCACAGTGTTCCCACTCATTTCCTTTGCCTGCCCAGAAAAACTAGGAAAAAACATGCTTACAATCAAAGAGCGGGACTAGATTGGAGCAGAAGTGGGAAATGTTGAATGCACGTTTAATGCAAAATACCCCCCTGCAAATCAGTTTCAATGGGAATGAGGCACAAAATGGTGAATGCCTGCAGCGTAAGAAGCTCTCTGTCACCTCACATTTAACTGTCTAGAAAAAAAGAAAAGGGAAATATGTGTCTCCAGCCACTACACGACTTCTGAAACTTCTTCATTGGCATTTTATAACATTATGGATGAAATTCTAAATACTGGCCTCTGAAGTAGGGGGTGAGGAACCTTTTTCCAGACTGAGAGGACTTAGGTATGCAGCTGCAAATAAATGTTTTAAGTGTGTTGTAAAGTGCATTCTACAAATGTGAAACTAGATGGCGAGATACAGTGAATTCAATATATTTTTCAAAACTTTTTTTAAAAAAGCATTTTCACAGTGTTTTTTATGTGTGTCTGGATTCCACTTGGGTCACATTCCTTTCTGGGCAACCTTCGGGGACGGTGGGGGGCAGGGGTGCCAACTTGAATAAAAAAGGGGGGCAGGTAAGCCCCGACCCACATAATCGATCACAAGATGCAGCACACACACCAATTGAATATCAATTTCTATCAACTTTGGCAGGGCCTGGCCCTCTCAAATATTTTACTGGGGGCGGGGAAGGGACCTTGGCCCCTAGGAGTTATCACCCGGGGCAGGGCATATGCCAGTGGAAGGTGGGGCCAAAGTGAAAAGAGAGCAACAGATGTAAATTTTACCTTGGCATAGCAGGCTCACCTATGCACATGCTGAGACGCCCCTCTCTAGCTTCCACCCAGGCAAGGAGGAAGCATTAACTAGATAGACTCAAATGACTGCATTCAGTCTCACAGGGGGCTGAGGTTTCCTCATCCCTGTTCTAAAGATTGGCTTTATCCTGCTGCAGTGCCCACCCCTGCTGCCATTACTTCTAAGAAAGCTAACAGAGCCCTTTTAACCATAGCATCCTTCTTTTAAGTGTATACGTATGCATGTATGTAGAGATGCCTTACTGGCAGCAATCCTGCACATACTTACCTGGGAGTAAGCCTCATTGGAAAGAATGGGACTTCCCATGTATAGGTGTGCATGTATAGGCGTGAGCTGCCAAACCACGCTTTACTAAAGCAAGGTACTGTATTCCTTTTTTTAGGCCTGCAGGGCTCTTGAAAGCCAGGTTATTGATGCTAATTGCAAAGCTCAATGCCAGTTACTAATTGCCAAGGGCTTGCAACTCATTTCCAACTCTCATCACTTTCCACAACAGTGCAATTGGTGAACTCCAGTTGGTAATAGCATGACAAACATAACTGAGCACTGCACTTACTCTGCTGCCAGAGCTGAAACTGATATTGCCCATTAGTAATTCCTTACGCTGGCTATTTGCCTGAGCAGCTTTTCACTTGTCCTCTCTTTGGAAGCAGAAGACAGATATCCTTACTCAAAGGCACACTACGTGCTAACACATTTCAGAAACTTTCACTTAATAAAATGAAGCGGCAACCTTCAACAACTCTATCTCTTTTGCCCTTCATCATCACCTTGTATTGCTGTAGGCATTATTTTATTTTATTTTTAAATCTAACATTTAGTTTATTCTAAATACTGCCTGCTCAGAGCATAGTGGGAGGGTGAATAGGTTGGTTTTTCCCCCCAGTGTCTGGGAAAACCCCAAGACTTCTGTTTCAAGAGTTGAAAGGTCAAACAACCCTGTTTTCTTTACAAAAGTAACTCACTGATGTTCCAACTTAGTCAAAAGGATCCATTCAGCACTGCAGATGTGGAAACACCATTCATTTCAATGGAGGTTTGCTGAAGTTGAGCTGAGGGTGGACTGGACTGCAGCAATTTTTAAAGGAATTATACCTTTACTCTGCCAATCCAGGGAGTTAATGAAATGGGTCACAGTCCCTTTAACTCTGAAATGTCACATGCCTGCAGTCAGAATAATCTGGAGAGCAGTGGCTTGCACCCAGCTGAGTGCAGGAGAGGCAGATGGGAAGAGTAACGTGACCACTGCATACTGACAAATATATTTGATGGAAACTGAAGGAGCATAGATTTCTTATTCATTAGAGCAGCCTGCATATCATTTCACTTGCTTGCAGGGTGGTGTGAGGTCACAAAGGCAGGCAAGAAGGCTGGGGACTCTGTCTTCAAAACAGAGCTAGGAGGTCCCATTTAAGGGCCTGATAAAGCTACAATCCTACTAATTCTACAAACACCTGCTCTCTCCCCATTTGTTACATTCCACCAGTTTCCTCCATGCTAGGGATGCGTCTTCTGTGTCTGTAACGCAGCCTTTGCCAGCTTGATGGCTGATACTCTCCAGAGGTATTGGATTGGGGGTTGAAAGAAGTGTAGTCCAAAACACCTGGTCGGTGCCCAGCTGGCAAAGGCTGCAGTGTGGAATGTACTGCATCAGAATTTATTTGGGAGGGTTAAATAGTCAAGCAAGTCTTCACTTCTGAATTGTCTGAGTGTGACCCCTTTTTATTTGGGCAAATTGCTTTTGCATGCCACAAAGAGGTGCAAGCTACTTATTCCCCACTAAAACCAGAGAAAATACCTCCACGCACTAACCAAGTGGGGCAGGCCACCTGCAAAATTCACCATAGGAACCATTGCAAAAATAACCACAGCCCTAGAACGCTGCAAAAGTTATGTCTTTTGCAAGCAGTTGGAGAGAGTGTGACTCGGTGAGTCAGTGATATTTATTTCCCATCATCTAACACAAGGCTACATACCTGCGCTGATTCAGCATGCAGTTTTTTAAGAATCTGCCAAACTTCAAGCCATGCTGGTTGGCTAATTCAGAGAGTGAAAGGAAACTAAAGCTCCCTGTTCCCTCAGAAGTGCATCGAACTTGCCACTGTGCATTCCTAAGCTGGACAGGATATAAAGGCTTCCAGGTTAGATGCTACTTTCTGCCCTTGCCTGTGTGGCTAGTTCTCTTGTCTCATTCTCTGCTTGCCTTCCCATCAGTCTTTCTTTCCACTCTTTCCCTGCATCCTAATTTCAACCATCCCAGTCCAAGTTTCTTAGCTGTGACCGTGTGGGTGATCTTGTGATCCTGCTAGGTACCCAGAATACCTACACAGTGGTACCTCGGGTTACATACGCTTCAGGTTACAGACTCCGCTAACCCAGAAATAGTACCTCGAGTTAAGAACTTTGCTTCAGGATGAGAACAGAAATTGTGCTCTGGCAGCATGGCAGCAGCAGGAAGCCCCATTAGCTAAAGTGGTGCTTCAAGTTATGAACAGTTTCAGGTTAAGAACGGACCTCTGGAATGAATTAAGTACTTAACCCGAGAGACCACTGTAGTGATTTTGTAGAAGAAAAATCATCAGAAAAGTACATTTAGGGCTGCATCTTAAGTGTCCAGTTCTAAACATTTGTCTGTTTCTAAAAAGCTATCTTAACACCCCTTCAATGGTAGAACAGTGTTTTGTTTTGTGACAACATCCCTTCATAAGTTGTAGCACACAATCCATAATAAATGATTATTATTTCCTGAAGGCAGCTCTGTATATGGAAGCTTTTAAAATGTTTAATGTTTTATTACGTTTTTATGTATGTTGGAAGCCACCCAGAGTGGCTGTGGAAACCCAGTCAGATGGGCAGGGTACAAATAATAATTATTATTATAAATATATTTGTAGCATGTTGTCTCAGCTATCATGATGTATAGTTATGTTTTGTCATTAGTTCCTAAATAATGAAATACTACAAAATTCTGCACAACAGCAAAACATCCTGATATTTAATTTTAGGGGACAAATTACCTCCACTCGCATAACCTAATGAACAAATCTCCATTGTAATATGAGTAAATGGCCTCTGTTTGACAATTCAAGTAAAAATAGACTCTGCTCACAATGGCAGCTTTGTTCTAAGCATAATTATCCTGCCTGTTTGAATATATGTGGGAATATGGGAAAGAAAACACCCTTAATTTGAAGTCACTTCCGAATATTGACATGGGGAAGTGCAAGTATGCTGAAGATGGCAGTATATATACTTTTACTGGCTGGCTTGAAAGAAGACCTGGCAAAGTTATCTGAAGGAGAAGTTCAAGCAAAGTGAACAGGCCCGAAATAGCCACTGCAACCCGGCAAGAACTCCATGACAACAGTCCAAGCATACAACTCAAGTACCGTATATGAATACAAACACCCTCATATGCAACTGCTTCACAGCTCTCTGAATTTGATGGGAGTGTGTCTGCATATGTAAATGAAGCTCCACATTGCAACCACATTGGAGGCCATTGAAATAAAAAAAAAATAAGGTCTTATATAATAAATGTTCATAAATGTACCAAGCAAACACATACATAAATATATAAACCACATGTCTGAAGCAGCACAGGAAACCAGCCCTGAAACCATTTTGACTCCCAAACTGATCAAATGTTTTCTCTGCAAGGTTGAAGGAAAATGGAAAAGCCTCCCCATTGTCTTTTCCTTCACAAATCCTGTCTTAAGGGTATGTCTGTGTATGAATAGGGTGTGCCTGTGACCTGGCTCAGGAACTAAGTATTTGTCATTACAAAAGACTGGTCAGGCTCCCCAGGGTATCCAATCAAGTGACCATTAACAGGTCTGCCAGACAGGAGATAAACAACGCACTCAGATTTCTGTTGTAGACCGCCCTTTCTGTGATGTAGGTATGATGCATCTGGGGGGTGGTCTTGAGCTACACCCCTTCTGTGATGTATGAGGCTTCTGGGGGTAGTCTTGGACTCCAGGGCGGGCAATTTAAAATGTCTATATAAGGGCGGGCACACCTTTGTTCGGGGTCCTTCTCCTTTCCTGCATGTGAGGGGAGCACCCTGTTGCAACACATCAGGCTTACAAGCTGCTTTGCTTCTCAATATTCTCTGGTTGGCCTCTGGAGAACCTACAAAGGACTCTAAGGGTTCTTGTGTTCCCCATAAGGGAATAAGGGCAGATGTTTGTTTATTACATCCATGCACAGCAGGTGTGATCTGAGCTGGCTGAGGACCCAAGAAAGGTTTGGTATAGGCTATTCCCTGTCAGCTCTATTCCTGTTAAGTACTAAGCTTGGATCCTTGTAGGAATTGCCTTAGAACCTGAGGATGAGGCAAGACTCTTCTGTTTGGCATAAGCAAAGGGTTTGTTGAAACCAAAGCCTTGGGTTTTGGCTAAGAGGTGAAGTCTGCTTCTTTTCAGATGGATTAGGAGGGATCCATGGAAAGAACCAGAACAGATCCTGCAAGCAAAAGCTGGAGGTGGAGGGCAGGGAGAGAGACAAGGCCCTGCATTTCTATTTGTTCAGGAAGTTAGAGAAAACCCAGCACTCCAGAGTTCCTGCTTCACTGAAGCCCTGCTTTCTATGTAGGTTGCCTATTTTTAGATGATCTTCGAAGAGCCACTGTTTAATCCGTGGTTTTAGATGGGCTGCTGAGATATAATGCAGCCCGTACTTAAAGACTGCAGCTAGCGTGCCCCAGAGACCTCAAATACTTGAACCCAGCGGAAGTTACTGTATATGCTAGAGTAAATATCCAAAATAGGGTTGATGCTCCAATACTGAAAATGTAGTGACTGTCAAACACGGGTAAACAGTCCCATGCCAAGAAGTGAGGGGGGTGCCTGAAAAAAACCAAATGGAGCTAGACAAGTAAATGTGGACAATAAACATTATGTAGTTGCTCACATTCACTGCTCTGCCTTTATATATTCAGAAGCTGCCTGAAGGATTTGCAACATCTTGGCATCCAGTGGCACACCTGAGCCAGAGGTATTTGTCTCTGGCAACCTGAATAATGGGATTTATGGAAAGGAGACTCCTCCTCATGCGGTCATGGGTTTTCGTATGAGAACTGCCACTTCCCACATGTTCTGAAGGCAACCATCAGAGTTTAACTGGACTAGTGGTTGACCTGTTAAAAACACTACCACCAGCACAGATGTTCAGCGCAGTCCTAACCCTGCCTACTCAAATGTAAGCCTTATTGAATTCAATGGGTTTTACTCCACCAGTAAATGGGGTTCAGACTGCAGCCTTAGCTAAACAGGAAGATATTATTACTCTGACCATGTGTTACCTAATATAAGGTAATGACTCTCAGGCTGGGAAGAGGTGCTAGATTCCACCCCCCACCCTGCCTGCCAGAGTCAAATTTAAATGCGTGGAATGCAGGGAGGAAGAAAGCATTGTGTGGGTTTGTTTTTGCTTTTGTTTTGCAGTGTGGAGAGAAAAAGTGAGTTATGCATGGCCCCTCTGCTCAAAATGAGCTTCTCCCAATGCAGAAAAGTGTCCACTGGGGCTGTTTTGTACATAATTTGTGTATCACGTGTGCCCTTCAGTGAAAGTGCTTCAGATCCTCCCCCTTTTCCTCTCTTTTGTAAAACAAATGGCTAAAAAATGGTAATGCTAGGCATCTCTTATGTTCATGCTTCAAAATATAGTTCATTACAGACTCATTTCTAGAAGTCACCAGAAGGTCACCCAGTCCAGTCCTTGCACATATGATTCAATAAAGCTCCTATAAGATCACTGAGATCACAGAAGATCAACTATGGAAGCAGGAACAATAGATGTACCCTGAATGTAGAGCAAGGAATAATTCAAACTCTGCATGTCTGGATGGCTCAGGCAGGTGAGCCATGGGATACTGGTGAAAATAAAGAGCAAAATATAGAAAGTAAAACACTAGGCTTCCTAGAGAATATGACCTGTGAAAAGCAATTTTACCGAATTGCCCAATCTGTTCAACTCGGAGACCAACAACAAAACTGGGCCAAAACTGAAAAGACTCACCTCTATAAGCATGTAAAACGAAAGCATGGTGACTCCAAGGTTATATACAATGAGAAGACCCCTGAGTGATAGAGCAGGCCTGTTCTTCATAAATGTGGTACCCAGCCATATGAAGAGAAGATACGCAACAGTGAGGGAAAAAGTGGGCAAGTAAGAATCCAGCATGAGCCATCCTCTGACCCTGGGATCTGAAGAAACAAAGCAAAGCAAAAAGCCTCATGAAATCAGCACATATAAATATTTCTTGTTCAATACAGTCATTCAATGGGCGACCAACGCCTTTCCAGTCTCCCAGTAATACCCAGCCTCCAGTCTTTACAACCTCCTCCTAGGATGCTCTTATAATGTGGGGTTTTTTTGAAACTGATGGAATACGCAGAATTGGACAAATTAACAGGGAAGATTCGGAACCGACGAGACCAGAGATTCACTGAAGACTGGAATAAATTTACAGAATATATTAAAAATGTATGTGATGAACAGTTAACGTTTGTAAGCTTTCAAGAAGCTGCTCTGTGAGAAGTATTGGTAGAAATATTGCTTAAAAACTATGATAAGGCTAATAATGATAAAGTGCAATTTTAAATTGAGAAATGTGAGAAGATGTGATAATACGGAGAATTGTCAGACCTGCTGATGGAAGTCCAAAAGAAGTAGTTGTTGAGATTGGGATGTTAAATTGTGTTTAAATGTATATTGGAAAACTAATAAAAATTATTTTTAAAAAAATATAATGTGGGGTTTTTAATTTGTTCTTGCTCTTGTTTTTATTATGTCCCCCCCCCCAGTACTTTTATGTTGTGAACCGTCCTGACATCTATGGATGAAGGGTGGTACATATAATTTTTAATAAATAACAACAGCTGATTATTAAATTAAATTTAATGGGTGAGAACTGAAATAGCACAAGCAAGCGCCTTCTTGTGTAACAGGGCTTCTCTTGCTTCTCATCCCCTACAGAACCCACGTGCCCCCAAAATCTGCTCCAGAGGGCTGAAGGACTATCCAGAGAAGAGTTTGGGGGCACAAAAGGGAGTTGGAGGGGGGAAAAGAGAATGCACAAGCAGATTTCTGCTGTGGAGGTGGGCAGACATCACGGGATGTCATCCAATATATTTGCTCATTACCAAAACCCCAATAAACGATCAGATTGTATAATGCTTATAATATAAACCTTTGGGGTTTTTTTAATCATTATTACCATTTCTTAGAAGTCACCTTCTACAATGTCTTTTTTCACACAGCAGTACACTGTCCAGAACCAGAATAGCTTAAAAACCATAAGAGGCATTCATCGTTCCTGGATGCAAACATAAGTATGTCCTAAATAGGCAGTAATGCCTTCCAATAGCTGTGGGTTAAACCACAGAGCCTAGGACTTGCTGATCAGAAGGTCGGCGGTTCGAATCCCCATGACGGGGTGAGCTCCCGTTGTTCGGTCCCTGCTCCTGCCAACCTAGCAATTCGAAAGCACATCAAAGTGCAAGTAGATAAATAGGTACCACTCCAGTGGGAAGGTAAACAGCGTTTTCGTGCGCTGCTCTGGTTCGCCAGGAGTGGCTTAGTCATGCTGGCCACATGACCCGGAAGCTGTACGTCGGCTCCCTTGGCCAATAAAGCGAGATGAGCGCCGCAACCCCAGAGTCGGCCACGACTGGACCTAATGGTTAGGGGTCCCTTTATCCTTTACCTTTACACAGGTTAAGGCCTAATGAAGTGCTGTCAATTTCAGTCAAAGCAATCACAGGTGAATGGTAAGACCCACCTTATTTTTATGCCTGTAAGTAGTTTTACATTGTTTTTAAATGTTGTCTTTTAATGCTGTGACCCACCCTGGGAACTTAGGGTGAAGGGCGGGAAATAAATAAATAAAAATAAATGAAAGGTTATTGGTACAACAAAAGATAACAAACCAATAAGCTTCACAAATCAAAGCAAGAGTTAACACCTGTGTGTGATGATTCAGTTAGAACAGGCATGGCCAAACTTGGCCCTCCAGATGTTTTGGGACTACAATTCCCACCACCCCTGACCACTGGTCCTGTTAGCTAGGGATGATGGGAGTTGTAGTCCCAAAATATCTGGAGGGCCAAGTTTGGCCATGCCTGAGTTAGAAGTTACTCTAAGAGAACAAGAAGGAAGCTTAGAATCAGAAAAATAAGATCCTACCTTATTTGACCATAGCAAGTGGGGCTCTGTTTAATCATTATTATTACAGAGTCACCTGGCCAGTGTCTGATCCCCATTATTTATTGTCCCCAAACCACAAATATTGTCGCCTGCACACACCCTGGATAGCTGTGGCAAAGCATCAGTTCATTTCCATTCTAAGCTTGGAATTTCACACACCTGAATCTTTATGCATTTCCTTGTAAAGCTATAAGTCCTTACATTATCAACTAAATGCCTTGGCGCTTTCTTAAGGTAGCTGACCTCAGTGGCGTAGCGTGGGTTGTCAGCACCCGGGGCAAGGCAAGTAATTTGCGCCCCCTAACCCGTGGATTTGCGCCCCCTAACCCGTGAATTTGCGCCCCCTAACCTGTAGATTTGCCCTAACCCCAGATGTTGCGCCCGGTGCAGCCGGCCCCCCCTGCACCCCCCACGCTACGCCACTGGCTGACCTGAAGCTTTTGCACAAGTGAAGCTTTCGATGACTAGGGATTATTATCTTTTTTTTAAAGGTGACTCATCCCTTCCTGCTATCCATGCTGCATTTTCCTTATCCCTGATGAATGCCAAGCATAACTACCTCAAAGTCTCCCAAAATGGGTGACTATTTGTGCAAAGCCCACTAACTATACCAGCAATCAACTTGGATAATACCATCGTTGCTGTGGCTGTGACTTAATGACGGCAATGCTGCAACGATCATTCCTTGCACTTCTGAACCTGCTAGGTAACAGCTCCAGGTAAAAGCACCCATAAGGAAGCACTCTTTTAAAACAAACAAACAACAAAACATCCTATGCTATGATTTTTTTTACACATTTGACACTAGCCTATTTAAAAGTAAGAGGAGAAAACAGAGGCAAGTGTGTTGCAAACCAAGGCCCTGTACTTTAAGAAAGTGTATCAAAACAGAACCCTGTGATCTGCAGAGGTATCCCTCTCTGCACCAGAAGATAAGGACAAAAAAGAGCAAAGGGCTATTGCTTCCAAGCCCCGCTTTTCAGGGGCATCTGAATTTCCACTATTTAAAACACAATGCTGCAGTTGAAATAAACTTTTATCCTCACCCAACAAAGCATTTTGCCTATTCACGTTTCTAGCTTCACACCATATTCTGTTTAAGCTCTTTAAGTTGCCTTAAAAGCAGCAAGAACACGAATTATCTCAAAATTCAACACAGCACAATGCTCCCTCTATGCTTACCTAGTCAATAGCTGGACTAGTCAATGGCTGGATATGAAATACGTAGTTTCCTCTTCCCACAATGAAATCCTGACGGTTCTACTAAATCCTGGCAGTTTCCCTTTTTGTTGTAGCCAACAAAGCAAATGTTTTCACAATTGTATCCTCTTATGACCAGGTAAAAGTCATTCACATCAACTTGCTTTCACTGGAAACACTGGTTTCTTCCTGTCAAGCAAGCTTCCCTTTTCATCAAATGAACAAACTGGCACAGGTAGAATTCATTAGACTTAAGTACCTTTAAGTCCCTTGGGAGCTATAACAAGTGATTTTTTATTAGCCACGATGAACAATCGCTCCAGCTGCATTTCTGAACAGAAAGATTTTTTTTTAAGCACTGGCAATTGGGAGAGCAAAAAGTGTCACTATCTTCTTTAAACTAAGGGCTAGCTTCCAAATCTTTAACTAAAATATTACATGAGGAAATAAGAGGAATATATATATATATATATATATATATATTTGCTTTCGTAGATTTTCACGGGTACAGGAATGCAGGTTTTGGTGTCCTCGGGTGTCTTCCCGTGTAAAAGTTGGGGTGTCTAGGCGACGTTTCGACGAGGTCTCACTCGTCATCTTCAGGCTGGAGCTTTCGGCTTCTTGTTACTGGAACAGAGCAGGATCTCAGTGTTTGAGTTCCTATAAATACTGTTGAGGGGGTGTGGTGTATAGCCTCCAATGTTCAGGGCAGAGAGGAAGTTCCCAGGCTAGTGTGCCTTTTCTTCTTTTGTTCCTTAATTACTTGAGGGATATCTTGAGTGATTTCTTGAGTGATATCCTGAGTACCACTTAGGTGGGTCATTAGGTGTGGATTAGTTGCTAAAGCCTTCGTGTCTTGACCTCTTGAACTTTGTGAAGAGTTTTTCTGAGAAGATGGCTGTACTGCATTTAGTTGTGCTCTGGCTTGGCTTCGTGTATAGGGGCGAGCTGTGGTTTTGTGTCCTGTGCCAGCCAGATCTGTGTAGGGATTGCAGGGGGGTGCAGCATCCGGAGGTGCCACCATGGTTTGGCTACTGGATGGTGTCTGTAATTTATCTGTGGAGAGGGTCTGGGTTTGGGTCTATGAAATACCCTGCAAAGTCTGCCCAGCCACGTACATTGGACAAACAAACAGACGAATAAATGCACGTATCGCAGAACACAAGAATGCCGTCAAAAAAGAAGAAAAAACTTCCTCTCTTTTCCAACACATGAAAGAAACAGGACACGAAATTAATTTTGCAGATTCCAAATTGCTCTCTAACATGGAACATCACCACAAGAGAATAATCATGGAAGCCATCGAGATAGAGAAACACCCTCACAACATGAACAAGCGTGACGACACATCCCGCCTGCCAGACATCTGGAAATTAGCCCTCCCCACAAAAACCGACACCAGATCCAGAGGCACACAGAACGCCATCACCAATCAACCACACCAGACCCAAACCCAGACCCTCTCCACAGATAAATTACAGACACCATCCAGTAGCCAAACCATGGTGGCACCTCCGGATGCTGCACCCCCCTGCAATCCCTACACAGATCTGGCTGGCACAGGACACAAAACCACAGCTCGCCCCTATACACGAAGCCAAGCCAGAGCACAACTAAATGCAGTACAGCCATCTTCTCAGAAAAACTCTTCACAAAGTTCAAGAGGTCAAGACACGAAGGCTTTAGCAACTAATCCACACCTAATGACCCACCTAAGTGGTACTCAGGATATCACTCAAGAAATCACTCAAGATATCCCTCAAGTAATTAAGGAACAAAAGAAGAAAAGGCACACTAGCCTGGGAACTTCCTCTCTGCCCTGAACATTGGAGGCTATACACCACACCCCCTCAACAGTATTTATAGGAACTCAAACACTGAGATCCTGCTCTGTTCCAGTAACAAGAAGCCGAAAGCTCCAGCCTGAAGATGACGAGTGAGACCTCGTCGAAACGTCGCCTAGACACCCCAACTTTTACACGGGAAGACACCCGAGGACACCAAAACCTGCATATATATATATATATATATATATTTAAAAATGTTAAAAGAGTGTGAAGTGTCATGTAAAAGAATTCCCTGGGAGTAAATAGATGAGACACGCTGCCTGTTAAACATTGTACTAGGAGTTATCAGAACCAGCTATATATTCTTTTTGAACTAAATGCATTTATCTCCCAGTTTTCTTTAATCACCATGGCACACATATTATAATGACCCTCCAGCAGAGCTGGTGCAGGTGAGGGGAGCCTGGTAGCACCATGAAAGGAACACCTACCTCTAGCTCCAAACATATAGTCCACAAACTCATTTACTTCATGGTCAAATGCCTTCAGGTGTTCCTAAAAAGAAAGCAGAAGGAAACAAGGGTCAGGTTTGTTATGTCCTCATTTACAGAGATGTACAGCCTCTTGGGCTTGCCGATCAGAAGGTTGGCAGTTCAAATCCCCGCCACGGGGTGAGCTCCTGTTGCTCTGTCCCAGCTCCTGTCAACCTAGCAGTTCGAAAGCACAGCGGTGCAAATAGATAAATAAGTACTGCTCTGGCAGGAAGGTAAATGGCATTTCTGTGCGCTGCTCTGGTTTTGGTGTTCCGTTGCGCCAGAAGCAGCTTAGTCATGTTGGCCACATGACCCAGAAAAACTGTCTGCAGACAAACACCGGCTCCCTCGGCCAGTAAAACGAGATGAGTGCCGCAACACCAGAGTCATTTGCGACTGGACCTACAGTCAGGGGTCCTTTACCTTTACCTTTTTACAGCCACAGCAGCTAAATTGACCTCCACGTGGAGTACCAACGTACATCTGGGTATCTAATACTAGCAGCAAACAACAGGGAGAGGTTGCCTTTCTGCATTTCTTCATCTGGGTAGTCATTTTTGGAAAAATAATGTTGGACAAGATGGATCCTTGGGCTGATCCAAAAGGGATCTTCTTCATAGGATCTTAATGCAAACGTAAGATTGGCGGGAAACAACAAAGAGACTTGAAGCACTTTAAAGACTAACAGATTTATTATGGCACAAACCCTCACGATCTAGAAACGTCTCCATTTTATGCATGAAGTGCTAACCTCAGTTGACAGGCATATATGGATCCACTAGTACAGAGGGGAGGAATTGTAAACAGTGAGGTTGTGGCAGTGAAATGCAAAAGGTACTATTTGTGAGAATTAAAGCTGCAAGGAAGACTCAGAGTAGAGCCACTGAAATTAATAGGTGTAACTTAGTCATGTTAGTGGGTCTACTCTGAATAAGCTTAATTGAATACTGCTTCCCAATGAGCAATAATCACAATGACCACAAAAGCAGTGTCTGGTGATTCCACAATAACCTTATCATTCCTAAGTAAAAGCAGGAAACAATTGTCTCTATTCAAGTCCAAATGAATAGAATCAAACTGTTATAATTCAGCTATTTCACACTTTCCCTCTGAAATTCCTTTATAGGAGAATGGCAACTTTTAGGCGAGTAGCAAAATATCCTGAGAGATTGAAATGTTCTTTTGCTAGTTGCTAGGAGTTGCCTCTTCTGAGGTCAGATGAAACTGGCAGAGATTCTTTTCTGCAAAAGTGCCTCAAAAGTATCTGCCAACACAGGCTGACACTATGGAGGGTTTGAACGGGCAAGTCACCATGTAGGCTCAGATGCATGATCTGCTGTGGCTGGCAACTGAAAATTACAAGTTAGGAGGGGGTAGGGAGCAAATCAATAAAAGCAAACAAGTGGTTCATAACAGGAGTTGACCCAGGACATTGCACCAATGTCATGATGATACTACAAACCAAGATAAGCCAACGAGGTGCTGCAGCTATTTGCGAAATGATTATGCAACAGCACAAAAATGAACACAGAATAGACAGAGCACGAGAGGATGGGGGCAAAGCTTGAGACGATCTCCTAATACATTATCCTACAGGCCTTTCGGCTTCTACTGAAACCACCTGTATGGAGGACACAACCCTATGCACTTAATGTACTGCAGTAACATGTTCTAAGTGGCAGGCTTGTTCCACAAGGGTTGTCAGCATAGTAAGCTTCTGTGCAAATTCTGCCAGCTACAGGTATCAATAGGATCAATGCGTTCTTCAAACACTCCTTAGGGAAGACCATATTCTGCAGAGGATCTACATACACAGTTTGCATTGTTTAGTGAAATCTGCATGCACAAAAGCAAAGGCAGGATAGATGCCCCAAAGATGCTGTTGAAGATATGTTCGGGTTGAAAGATGGGGAAGCATTAAAGTACCTTTGAAAGGTATAGTGATTGCGGCATGGTTTGTTGCATTTTGAGACCCATGTATATTTTCTAGTTTTTTTATTTAATTGTACTGCCATTCAGCTCATGTTTGGGCTGTTAATCATCATTACAAAGTATACATGCCATTGGTCCCAGGGCCTCCTGTATATCAGAATGCTCTGCTTATATTCTAAGTAGTTAATTTGAGACTCCTTTTTAATACCATTATCTGGTTGGAAATACCAGCCTGATTCTACAAAAGTGCTACTGATTTAACAGAAAAAGAGAAATCGTTTCAATCAAAACTATAGTTTCACTTGCTCTATTAAGATGATTTGCTTTCACTTGCTTTATTAAGATGATTTGGGATGCGAGTGGCACCACTGAAGCCTCTTGGGCTTGCCGATCAGAAGGTTGGCAGTTCAAATCCGCACAACAGGGTGAGCTCCTGTTGCTCTGTCCCAGCTCCTGCCTACCTAGCAGTTTGAAAGCATGCTCGTGCAAGTAGATAAATAGGTACCACTGTGGCAGGAAGGTAAACGGCATTTCTGTGCACTCTGGTTTCCGTCATGGTGTTCCGTTGTGCCAGAAGCGATTTAGTCATGCTGGCCACATGACCTGGAGAGCTGTCTGTGGACAAATGCCAGCTCCCTTGGCCTGAAAGCAAGATGAGTGCCGCAACCCCATAGTCACCTTTGACTGGACTTAACCATCCAGGGGTCCTTTACCTTTTACCTTAAGATGATTTAACCTATATCCATAAGAATATATCTTCAAATAGTTTGAGTTGAAACATTTGCCTGCAGCTGCCCTACATTACTATTAAAACATTTAAAATGTATATCTAGAAATGTAAGGTGCAAATGTGATAAAAACAAATTTCCAAATATGCCTATCATACTAAAACTTATCAGGGAACTGTGTTCACAAAGCTAGCTGGTTTCAACAAAAAATAGTTTCAGATGAGGAGCTGAGTCAGGAAATGTGGAGTGTGAGAAAACAGAGAACCTCAACTTTAGCCTTCTCTTACTGCTTCTGTTTCACAGAGATCCCATTGTCCAAAGTTTTAACATGACATTTTAAAAATGTAACAATATTTTGTTCATCTCTATGTGGCTTATAACAAATGGAAAATCAAAGCACAAAAGCTTGAATTTATTATTATTTGACACAAGTGGTATTTACACAAAATAGGAACAATATCACTATTAACATGAATTCTAATGCCAGTGGACAAATCTCTGCCCAAGGCTGAATTTTAATACATATGAGGGACATGTTGGTTTATTGGTACTGGTGGATGAAGGTTGGGAAATGCAAAAGGGGAATTCGTTGGGAAGAAAAACTTCTGCAACTAAGAGGCTTTCCTGTACAATTGCTGTTTTCATTTGCTGTGCACATTAACCACATGAAATTGTTTTTCATCAAGCTTTTTCTTTTGGTGTGAACGAAATCTATACAACTGCTGCTTTTCCTTCAGTCCTTGTTAATGAGTGAACTTGTTGAATTTAGTGTCATTGCTGTGACTGCAATACTAAGCTACTTGGCATTGCACAGCAGCGAAGAGACTGAGATGCAAAGCAGGAAGTCCCCAGCTCATTTCTCACCTTTCCATGAACTCATTAGGTGACCTTAGACAAGCTGCTCTCTCTGTCTCAGCCTTTCTACAATATGGGGAATACTAACAATATTGATTCATTTTGTGACGTTGCTGTAAGGATTGCAGCTATCTTATGAATTATTACTTTATTTCCCATTATTTGATTACTCAACAGCACTTGATGCAGCTGGTGCTGAATGTGTGATCCAACTCCATCTGAAAATATTGCATTTAAAGTGACACAGGATCACAATAATGTTCTATATGTGGTATGGCTTCAGATCCGTGATGGTCTATTCACACACACATGCAAGTTGTCACTTGATGGCACAGTTATCAAATGACAGGTGTGCATGTGTGAAAAAGCGTTATATGATCTGGCAGTATTCCACCATGGCAAAATCTCTCACTGAAAAGTTCCCTCCTCCATCTAGACCAGCTCTCAGAGAACCGAAAACATTAATCTTAGTATAAGTAAGGTGCAGCGAGATGTGTCCTCCATTCTGGAATAGTCAGGTCATTTCCTCAATCTCAGAGATGAAGACTTACTATATAGAGTTTTTATTTTATACACATTGGAAGGAAAAGTTATGTAACAGCAGAACTATTTCCCACATGACTGAGCATATAATATCTCCTGAGATATGAGGGGAGAAAAAAAGAGACAGGATGACGTAAGAAGGATGTGGGGGTTTTTTTAAGTTTGCTTTTCTAACTCAAAATGTGTCACATGCAATTAAGATCAAGCTATTCAGTGCTTCTCAATTTGTTTGTACTCTAAAAGCTTTTCTTAAACATTTTTTTTTTAAAAAAAGCTAACCACTTTCTGTCTAGGTTTTTACACAGTGCTTCTGTTTCTCAACTCTCCCTGAACCCAAAAGGGAACCATATTCAGTTATGCTATTTAAGCTGAATACAACAAAGTGGAGCTATGATGTTCCACGTTAGTGATTAATCAGAGCCCAAAAAAGTAGGGCGTGTGTATTTTCTCTTGAAAAACTCCCCAACTCTGCTGTCTGACTCCTTTTGGCCATCTGCTGTGCATGATGGCAAATCTACATGTTACATACAAATGGGTGTAATTAAACCCTAATGGCCATATCACTAATAGAACAGCAATGTTGGGAGATAGGACCAGCCCAAGAAATTTAGTTGCCCGAGCTGAGGAACAATATAGTGGCACCACCCCATTCCACAGAAAAATGCTGACCAGACTGGCAGCTGAATCTGACTTCATCTATCACCCAGGGGGGCAGGGAGCAGGTTAACTTAGGGAGGGCAGGCTGTTCACAAGGAGATCTATCCTTCAATTCCTCACTGCTGTTCCCTCATTGTTTCACCTGATGCCTGCTTGCTTGCCCAGGTCCTAATTTAACTTTGGAGGCTTATGGAGTTTTCTAATATTTGTGTTTAATTACAAATATGCAGGTTGAGCCCCAGCTTAAGCAGTTCAACAGAGGGCCAAATCTGTTTCCCCAGACAGAGATGGCGCCCTAATGCTGTTA